GCCAGAGGCCACACGAGCAGACCGAGCACCCCCAGGCTCCGCACCCCCAGGCTCAGCACCCCCAGGCTCCGCACCCCCAAGCTCCGCACCCCCTGGCTCAGCACCCCCGGGCTCAGCACCCCGAGACTCAGCACCCCCAAGCTCAGCACCCCTAGCAGCACCAGAGTCAACAGCTACCTCGACAGGCTCGACTACGTCTACCTGGGACACACCTGACGGGGCAGGACCCTGAGGGGGGAGAGGGTCTACCGGGGGGGGACCTGGCGCAAGGAAGAGCGGCGGCGGGGTGAGGGGCGCAGTGCGGTAGGGGAAGAGACGGTACTAAGGAACCGACTCGTCAAATGTGACGTCCTGGGAGGACAGAACACGGCGCGAGGTGGGGTGGTAAAACTGCCAACCAGGCGCGTCAGGGGGGAAGCCAAGGAAGACGCAGGGAACAGCACGGGGGGACAGCTTGTCCGCAGAAAAGTCGCGCACAAACGCCCGAGATCCCCAGACACGAAACGCAGACGCATCGCCAACCTTCCGCGTCCACCGCAAGGTGGGGGAGGTCTTTGGCAAGGAGACACTGGGCTGAAGGTTGATCTGATGTGCTGCGTACCGAACCGCAAACGGCCACAGAAAATGGGGAGCAGTAGCATGGATCATGGACGTACGAGCGACGTCCATGACCATGCCAATGCGGCGCTCAGCAATCCCATTTTGCTGTGGAGAGGCCAGAAGCGTGAACGTGTGGCGGATGCCCTGTGCACGTCAGAAGGTTCCCCGCCTCTGTCAGAGTGCAAACGCAGAACAGGAAAGTCCGAGCCGAAACTCTCTCTGAGCTGGAGACCAGCTGCGCGGATACAATCGATCAACACCTCAGTGACGTCACCCTTGCTGCGCAAGGGGAAGACCATGGTGTAACGCGAGTAGTCGTCAACCACCAACAGGAAGTAACGCTCGTGACCCTGGCCACGGATGCGGGCGGGGCCCCACACGTCCATGTGAAGAGTCTGCAGCGGAGCCTCTGTCGGAGGAAACTCGGAGGAGTGAGGGGCGGCGCGCTGCCGCCCCTCGACGCAGGGAACGCAGGTAGGGGCAGGCCCCGGAAGGAGGGGAGGGAGGGAGCGGGGGAGACCAGAGACAAGGTAACGGGAGGCCATGTCTCGGAAACGAGGCAGGGAGGGGTGACCAAGGCGGTGGTGCCAGAGGAGAGTCCGTTGGGACAGGAGACGACACGAGCACGGGGCAGACTCAGGACCAGACCTGGACGCTGCAGCAAACACCTGACTCGACGCAGCTACCTGACCAGACTTAGCAACCGGAGGAGACTCAGTGTGTACATGCTCGACCCCGGCTGATGGGTAAACGTGGCCAAGTGTCGGCCCGTCCGAGATCACGTACAGTGGGTCACCCGCTAACTCGCAAGAGTGAAGTGGTCAACCCCCCCATCCTGTAGATCAGCACCAATCACCAAGTTCGTAGAGAACGAGGGGAGGTAGAGACCGGACAGGGTGCCAGAGGGGGCCGCCGGACACGGTAAGACAGTGGAGAAGTGGGCAAGGACAGGACCCCCAGAGGGGTCCGCCAGGGAGACTGCAACTGGCCGACTAAGCGGCGTAAGCGTGGTGCGGTCTCGAAAGAAGGAGCGGGAAGCACCCGAGTCAAGGGTGAAGGTGTGTAAGGCCTGAGGCGACGTGGTACCTGAGAGAGCACACGCACCAGTACTTTGGGCAGCAGACGCACTAGCACCTAGAGCAGCAGCCTCACCAGCACCTAGAGCAACAGCCTCAATGCCCGGGTCAGGCGGAACACACAGGTAATAGTCACCCTCATCACTAGTAGACACAACATACATGGCAGCAAGAATGGCATCATAATCCAGATCAAAGATAGCAACTGCCAACCTAAGCAGCTCGCCCCAGCGGGGGATCTCAGGGGCGTCAGGGAACTGGAGACGCCAAGCGTCCGTCAGGCGGCCGAAGCAGCGCAGGGTGGTGTGCGGGCCACCGCACGGCTCACCAGTGCGGTCGTCGGTACGCAGGACGTAGGCACAAGGACCAGCACCCCCACCCCGCTGATGTGCAGCGTACCACTCACGAAGGTGCTGGGGGGGCGGGGTCTTACGAGTGCGCTGTTGCTGCTGGCGCTGACCACCACGGAAGCCGCTCCGCTGCGCAGAGCCACCCCGACCAGCTCCACCTCCGCCGCCGCCACCTCCGCCACCGCCGCCACCGCCTCCTCCGCTCCCACCGCCACCGCCGCCGCCGCCTCCGCCTCCACCGCCGCCACCGAAGCTCCCACCCCCGCCACCACTCCCACCGCCACCCCCACTCCCTCCGCCGCCTCCACTGCCACCTCCACCGCCCCCGCCAGCCCCTCCAGCGCCCTTGCCCCCCTTGCCCTTGCCGGTGCGGCGTCTCCTGCTAGGGGCAGACGCAGCGCCGACCGACTCGGTGCCAACGAAGTCGACGGCAGCAGTAGAGGCAACAGAGGGCAAAAGGGGGGAGGGGGAGCACCCCTCAAAGAAGGGGGCACGAGGGTCACCACGAGAGGCTCCTACAGCGACTATACTTTTCTCTGCTGCTAGGAGGCGCTCCTCGAGGAGGTCAACGGTGAGTGTGGTGGGGCAAACAGAGAGGAAGTGGTCCCTGACCAAGCGAAGGGAGTCAGGGAGCCGGGTGACTATGTACTAGAGGGTGATGTACATGGGGGGGGGGTTCTTGACGCAGAACTCAGCAGGAAGCGCAGCGCGGTAGCGGGTGTCACTAGTGCGAAGGTGCGTAACGAGGTCAGCGACAGTGGGAAAGGCGGCGAGGTCAGGAAACAGGTACGGCAGTATGAGGCGGGCTTGGCGCGGCCCGATTTCTCTCCATGCGAGGCATTGATTGAGCGGCTCCATCACTGGCTGCGCTTGAGCGTTGTTCCACGTTGTCGTTTTGCGTCCGTGTGCCTGATGAGATGACGATCGGTTCTTCTGATTGCGCAGGTACATTTGCGGGTGCTTGTGATGGAGCTGGTGCATTCATCGTGGATTGCTGGCGAGCGAAGTCACGTTCCGCCGTAAGTGTCGCGATTTCGAGTGCCAAATTCTCGAGTTGACGTACGAGACGGTCGAGCTGCTCTTGCGTCAATGTCGCGAGCGTGAATTCGGCCATGGCGGGGGTGTCGGGCGATATAGCGAGAGCCTCTATCGTGGCCGTGCGTGCTTACGAGAGAGCACGACGAGCGGCGGTGCTGTGTCGCTGAGAGACGTCTACCCCCCCCCCCCCCCCCCCCCCCCAAAAAAAAATTGAGATAGTGAGGAAGCGAAGGTGTGGGTGCGGTCCGAGAAGAGATCGTAGGCTCTGAATACCAAGTGTTACGAGTGCAATTGAGTGAGCGAGCGAGAATTGCACTATCGAAGCAAGAGTACAATGAGCGAAGGTATGAGCGAAGAATATATAGCGAAACTAAAGTGGTAACGGTAATGGACAGCGGTTGTCGCGCGACGGGCTTGGGACTGAGGTTGGGGAAAATGTCGAAGCGGAGGCCCGGAGCGCGGGTTACCCGCCGAGCTGTGAGGTCGGGGTGCGACGTGCGAAGGTGGCGGGAGGATTGTCGATGCGAGGGTTGCGAGTGGTAACGGTGCTGACTATGGTGCTACAGTGGTGTACGCGGTGAGCGGGGACGCTAAGGAAAATGAATTTTCCTTACACGAAGTCAGGAAAAGGATTTTTCCTTGACACTAGTACGGTATTAAGATTTGAGGTGTAGCCGTCGGCAACTTACTACCACACCCCGAGATTTGGCTTGTGGTCTGCCAATGCCACTTGCAAGTGCAGAACAATTTCCCTCAGTCATTTGCATTTCATTCCAATCCAAATCTGTACTTCTTTGCACTGTGTGCGTTCAGAAGGTATCGTGGAGAATGCTGCTGACTTGCAGACACAGGATATCGTTACTTCCCCCACTTTGCACCAGACAGCACGAACCACCTTTCAAAAGGAGCCGCTCGTAGTTTCAAGGAACGAAGCTGAAGGGAGATTTTGTTCCGCATGCCGAAACAGTTCAGTTCACAAGACCAGAGCAAGGTGCAGTACAGAAAATGACCCAAGGGCGTGGTGATGGCTTGCGTTGAGTCTGCCTTGGAACAGAATTTGACTGGCTGAGGGCAGGTAACGAGGACGTGAGCAGAATGTGCGAAGACCACGCATTTTCGACCACTTAGTTTGTCAAACCCCGACGGACCGAGCCAAACGGCCCAAACCCGTACAAGGCTTTCGTATCAACCACACAAATAACAAGTGGCTCAGTACGACACCGTGAACTGTACACGTACTTTGAAACGTTTCACCGCCTAGTACCGTTACTCACCTCACACAATACAGCCTGGACAGCCACCTACCCAACGGCATGAACAGTGAACCTAGAAATCGTCAAATTGTCAAGCCAAGGTGAACTGTTTCGTTCTGTAATGTACTGTACATTCATTTTGTCATGTCAGCCTTGGAATGGTCATGCCTTGGGATTGTCGTCGTCGTCATCACCCGCAAGGAAGGCTTTGGTTGGAAGAATTGTCATCACTCATTCACGTTCTTCCACAAGCATGTTAGCCAGTTACAGCACGTTAGCCAGTTCATGCCATCTGTTCTCCACGCTGTCTCGAGGTCTCGGAGACACCTGCCAAGTCGTGCTGGGCAAGCCCTACAGCGTCGATTATTCAGCCAAACGTCCGATACAGTATCATCTTCAAAGGAACTCGTCCCGCTATGGCTCGCACCGCGCTTGTAGGAATCGATACGGTTTTTTTGTTCGCTGTTTTCAGTAGCCCTGAAGCCGTCTTTTCATCCATCGTTGGTCTTAAGTGTTCTTAGCCGACTATGCTACAACCAGTGCTTCTTCTCGGGCGCCTGAAGAGTTTTTGAGTGACCTTGAAGGTGGTGTTTCGCCCTTGCTGGTATTTCACTCGAAGTGACCCCAAAGCGCTCTTTCGCTACAACCGGACTACTAACCGAAGCCGCCGCTTTTCCCGCGCTATGGTCAGCGCCACAGGAGCGACAATCGCGCTTCGAGATCTCAAGACGCCGCCATCTCAGGAACCGTGCCGCGTCGGCGGGGCCAGATTGAACCTCACGGGGAGCGCGTTTGACGGCGGATTCCGCGGCACGTACGCTTCAGGGGAAGCGTATTTGTCTACTAAGAGTTGCCTGCCGCTGGGGTGTAGACAACAAGAGTGTTTGCTCATGTTTCACAACCATCAACAGCCGCCGCCGCCGCCGCCGCTGGCGGCGGTGCATCCGCCGCAGTCACACGTCAACGCAGCGCATCAGGAAATTTCTTCGCAGAACCAGATAAGGAGCTTCCTATTCACGGCGGCGGCGGGGGCGGCGGTGTCCTCCGTCCCGCCGGTTCCGTCAGCGGTTGGCGGAAGCCGCGCAGGCCTTCCTTTTTTTTCGCCTGTCGCGAGCGTAGCTGCTTCCGGTTCGTCAGCTGCCTACGAAGGCGCGGCGCCGACTGGTGGCGGTGGATTTGGCGGAATTTTCGGCGCCCCGGCGGTGGCGGCGGCGACCCCGCCCCTGTGGAAAACCCGCACAACTGGCGGCGTCCCCAGTTTAACAGTCGGTAGATCTGCGGGGGAGCAAAGCGCGGAATATTTGCGCAGGGGATGGGGCGGAGCCGAGGATGGGGGATACGGGGACGGGGACGGGGACGGGGACGGGGACGGGGACGGGGACGGGGAGGGGGAAGGGGAGGGGGAGGGGGAGGCAGAGGGGCAGCAGCAGAAAGCGAGCACGAATGCCAAAGGGCAATGGACTCCGGTGAGAAGAGGTGGAATGCGGTGAGGCGGATTTTGAGTGGTGCGCGGAGGGATTAATGTACTGTAGGAGGGCTTGGATTGAATAAGGGAGGAGTGCAGTGGGGTGAGGGGGAGTGGAAATGGTATGGCAGGGTGGAATGTGGTGAAGGAGAGTGGAACTTGGTGGGATGTAATGGGCGTGAAAAGGAGGCGAGGGGAAATGGGCTACAGTAGGGAGAGTGTGACGAGTGTGAGAAGGAGAGAGTGAATGAACAGTGTGAGAGGGAGAATGTCAAGAGTGTGCGAGTGAGAGAGGGAGAGTGTGAGATGGAGCGTTTTGTATGGAGAGTGTGAGAGGGAGTGTGTGAAAGGAAGAATATGAAGGAAGTTCGTGAGAGGAAGAGTGTGAATGAAGTTTGTGAGAGGGAGTGTGAACGGATTTTCTGATAGGGAGAGTGTGAAGGGTGTTTGTGAGAGGGAGAATGCGAGCGGGAAAACTGTGAGCGGGAGAGCGTTGGTCAGTCACGCTCAAACCCTAATTTTATGAATCAACGCTCAGGCAGGGAGAGCGTGACTGATGGATGGATGGATAAATCTCTACTTCCATCCATCCATCCTTCAGTCACGCTTTGTAGCGATTTATCAGGGCGGAGCCAAGGGGCGGATATAACCCAATCTCTTGATCCTCCCTCTTGTCTCTCTGCATTTTTATGCAGAAACCCTTTAAACCCCACATACCTCCATCACGGGAGGATGATGCTCTGTTGCGTCAGCTGGTGGAGAGAGGCGGATCCAAGGGGTGGATGGCCGTAGCAGTGATCGTACACTTTTCAATGTTTACACACACAACACAAACCATTCTAACCTCAAACCCTAATCTCTGCATCCACCTCAGGAGGAGGATGCTTTGTTGCGTCAGCTGGTGGAGAGAGGCGGAGCTAAGGGGTGGACGGCCATAGCAGCGCACTTGAATGATCCACTCTTTTGTCTTTTGCTACATTCATCCCTCCACACATCCATCTCAGGAGGAGGATGCTTTGTTGCGTCAGCTGGTGGAGAGGGGCGGAGCCAAGGGGTGGACGGCCATAGCAGCGCATTTGAATGGGCGCGCAGGGAAGCAGTGCCGGGAGCGGTGGCACAACCATCTCAAGAGGGGCATCAAGAAGGTGATTATAACGAGGATACTGGGGTGATGAGGGTGATGTTAACGGGATTGAATGGAGGAGTGAGCCAAGGGGTGGACGGCTGTAGCAGCGCACTTGATTGGGCGTGCAGGGAAGCATTGTTGGGAGCGGTGGCACAACCATCAAGAGGGGCATAACGAAGGTGGTTATAAGGAGTGATAATGCGATGATGAGGGAGGGTGGAACTAACTGGAATGGTGGAGTGAGCAATAGCAAGAGGCCGGGACAGAGCAGGAGGAGTGTGATTTCGTGGAGGCACACACACGAGGTTGGGCAAGAACAGATGGGCTGAGATTGCGAGACTACTACCTGGGAGGACCGATAACAGTGTGAAGTGAAGAATCACCGGAACGCAACAGTTTGGAGGAGTTCGGTCTTCTCATCTCCCTTATGTTCTCTTGTTTTGTTCCCTTACTCCCAACGCACCGCTCACAGGAGGCGTGGACGGAAGAGGAGGAGCGAGCTTTTGTAGAGGCTCACAAGCGGCTGGGCAACAGATGGGCTGAGATCGCAAGACTGTTACCGGGGAGAACAGACAACAGCGTCAAGAACCACTGGAACTCCACAGCCCGGAGGAAGGAGGAAATGGGGCGAGGCGGGGCAGAGGGCAAAGGGAACGGTAGGCCTGGCAGTGCTGGGAGTGCTGGTAGTGCTGGTAGTGTTGGGAGTGTGGGGAGGGGAGCGTATAGTGGTCGATCGAACGTGCTCCTGCGGTATATCCAGTCGCTGAAGCAGGGGGGGCGGAGTGAGAGCGGAGGGGGGGAGAGCAGAGGAGGGGAAAGCAGAGGGGGGGAGAGCAGAAGGGGGGAGAGCAGAGAGAGGGAGAGAGGGAGCAGAGGAGGGGAGCAGCAGAGCAGAGGGGGAAGGAGCGAGAGCAGAAGGGGGGAGAGGGAGAGGAGTAATTGGGAAGAGGGCGATGGGGAAATCAGAAGTGCTGGTAAAGGAAGGAGGGAGGGGAGAGAGGAGGGGAGAAGGAGGGAAGGAGGAGAGAGTGTGGGGGAATGGAGTGAGAGGGGGAGAGTGAGAACAGTGGACGAGGGAGGTATGGATGGTTTTGAAAACTCTCAGAAACCTATTGGAAGCTCAAAGATCAAAGAGAGAATCATGGCGGTTTCTCAGAAGTCTCAGAAGTCTCAAAGGTCAACAGGAGGCTTGGATGCTTATGTGAATTCAGAAGGGTTAACCCTAAAACCCACTGGAGGTATGGAGGTGGATGGGTTTGGGGGTAGGGGATTGGAGCAGAAGCAAAGAGAGCTTAGGGCACAGCCACTTTCGCTACAGCCGGCAATGCTGCAGCCGGACATACTACAAGTAGCAACACTGCAGCGGCAACGCATGCTACAGCCGGCAGGGCTACAGCCGGCAGTGGTACAGCCAGCCACACAACAAGCAGCCGCCTTCGCGTCTCAGAATCCTACTGTGATGATGGAAATAAGGGGTGAGGAGACAGGGGAGAAGCGAGAGGAGGAGGAAGAGGGAGAGGAGAGAGCATGCAACGATGTGGAATGGAGAATGAAGGGTATGCATCTGGGGTTGCCTGCATCGGTACCAGCAGCAGCAGAACGAGCAGCAGCAGCAGCAGCAGAACGAGCAGCAGCAGCAGCAGCAGAACGAGCAGCAGCAGCAGCAGCAGCAGTGCCACTGCCACTTGTTGCTAACAGCACCAAATGGGGCTCACATGAGCCAATGCTGGTAGCAGGTGAAGACTCTCAACCGCCAGCAGCAGCAGCAGCAGCAGCCAACACCCCGTTCCCGCATTTTCCTCCACCTTCTCACCAACCCCAGCATCCTCTCAGCTACCAGTCAAATAGGAATGTGTTCCCCCATCCCTCCTCACCGCTTCCTTCCTCTACACACCTTCCTCCCTCATCATTCCTTCCTCCCTCCTCACCTCTTCCTTTCCATGCCTCCCCTCCCTCGTGCAGTGAGGTGTATTTTGAGGCGCCTCAAAATGCATCCCCTCCCTCAACTTCAACTCCGGCTCCTCTCGAGGTGACTTTTGAGTCGACTCAAAAGTCACCTCTTCCTTTCCATGCCTCCCCTCCCTCCACTTCAACTCCTGCTCCTCTCTTCCCAGTGGCCCAGCATTCAACAATACACCAATCCACTAACTATAATCATTCCCCCGCACCACACTCACCTCCTCCTGCTCTCTCTCTCTCCCTCGCCCACACTGCCCCTAGCCCCTCTCAACCTCACCAGCCGTCTCCCCCGTTTCCCCCACCGTCTAATTCTCACCCCCCCTCATCCTCGTTCTCACTCTCCCCCTTTGTGTCGCCTCAAAAGTCAACTTTCCCTCCACCGTCTAACCCTGACCTCCCCCCATCGTCTTCATTCTCACTTTCCCAGTTAATTCGAAAGTCACCCCCGCTTCCCTCACCGTCTAACTCTCACCTCCCCTTATCTCATTCACTCTCACTCTCCTCTTTTAAGCCGTCTCAAACGTCACCCCCGCTTCCCCCACCGTCTACCTCTCACCCCCCCTTATCTCATTTACTCTCACTCTCCTCCTTTGAGCAGACTCAAAAGTCAAACCCTCTTCAGCCATCCGCCTCTCACCTCCCCCTGTCCACTCTCTCACTCTCCCTTTTTGAACCCGCACATACTCCAGCTTTCTCTCCCGCTTTAAAGGGAGAGCAGGTGTACATAACACTGAAACAGGAGCCTACGCAAGAGGCATATCTTGAGAATCCCCAAACTGCGGCAACGCAAACGCCATGCTTTGAAGTCTCGCGGAAGACACCTTGTCCTGTGGAGGCACAGGTTGCAGCACGAGCATCGCAGGAGGGAACACAAGATGCATGTTACCATAATCCTCAGCAACCTGAGCTGTTGCAGCAGCAACAAAATCCCCAAAGCACGCCTGCAGCAACAACTCGAGAGGCGGGGCCTGCAATAACCCGGGAGGCACCTTTTGAGAATCCTCAGAATCCTGAGAATTCCCAGAATTCTCCTAATTCTCAGACTGTGCCTGCAACAGGCCGGGAGGCAGCACACAAAGCGCACAACCGGTCTCTGTTAGCTTCACGGCTGATGCGATCCCTTGGAGCAGAGCGGGCGAGGAGGCAGAGTGAAGGAGGGGTGGAGCAGAGGCAGCAGCAGCAGCCGCAGCAGCCGCAGCAGCAACAGCAGCAGCACAGGACAATAGAAGCATATTCCAACAGCCACTCTTCTCAGGGCATTCCAACTAATCCCCCTGACAGCCATTTCGCTGATTCTCCTCGAAACATTTTAGCTGACCAGCAACCTGCCCCAAAAAGACGGTGCCTGCTGCAGCGGAGTGTGGCGGGGCCGCTGCCCGGTGCTCCTGTAGCTGCTGTAGGGGGCACGTTCCTGCTGGTCGGCGAACTGAGACTCACTCTTTCGTCCTCTTGCCTGATGCCGATTTCTGCTGGACAGGTTATCTTGGGGGATGATCCTGTGAAGATTCAGGAGGCACCGTTGGTGGTTGGAACAGGGAGTGGGTTGGGGAGAGTGGAAGAAGGGAGGGAATGAGGGGGAGAGAGTGGTAGGGAGGGAGGAGAGCGAGGAAGAGTGGAGTAGGGAGGGAGTGAGGAGGAAAGTAGAGAGGATGAATCATTCAGTGAGGAAGTCAGGGAGATACAGTAACAAGATCACATCACAGGCAGGAAGCTATGGGATGGGAGGATAATATGGAAGTCTATCTTAGACTAATATGCAGATGTTATGGATTTGTAAGATACAGTGTGCTGGAGTATGTAGCTCCTGCTATGTTATATATACACGTAATTGCGTGCCTTCTGGTTCTAATAAAATACATTGCCCTGTTTATTTCATATTAAACGCCACCTACTGTATATTCACAGCTATTCTGCTGAGACTGCTTGGTGGCGTCTCTGCGAGTAGCGAATTCTAGCGAGGTCAATCGGTTCGCGACAGACTAACAACCACTCAAATAGAGCATCTGACAGAGATGGAGACCGATCTAATCTTCAGACCGTGCGCCTCTGACGCAGATGTAGGTGCACCACTGCTGCCTGCCTCACCCCACCCATCCCCATCACCAGCCCCACCTATCACCACGGCAGATAGTTCCGAGGGCACGGCCACGCCCGGCCCCACCGACACAGCGACGTCACCAGACGAGGTCGTGAGGTGCCCCACATGCCTGAGCTCCCTCGCGAACCGCCGAGCACCCCGACACCACATGCCATTCTGCCACCCTGCCGACGCAGCTCGCAGGGCGCAGGCCCTCCGCGACAGGGCCTTAGCTCTACCTTCCCTAGCAGAGCCCCGAGCGTAGGGGATGCAGTTCACAGATGCACAGTGGCGTTCGCTTGACTCCGTCCGGTGGTCGGAGTGCTTTGCCCCGGAGCGCATTCATGTCCGTCCTCTTCGGCGTATCCCCCCGAGGGTCCGTGGTGGGTATCTAGACATCCTCTGCGCCATCTTAGCACGGGTCTCCCAGGACCCAGAGGCACCAGGCCCTACTCTCCTCTTGGCGGCGGCACCGACGCTCCTACTGGCTCCGGCGACACCGCCAGAGCGTTCAAACACGGCCGCCATTGCAACGCGCATCATCCGTTTTGGACGAGGTGAGTGGGACGAGCTCATCTCTGAGGCCCTACATCGACGTACCCCCCTTCCTCTACGAGCAGCACGACACGCTCGCGCCACCACCTTCTCCCCCACACCGGATGACCATTGCATTGCCGCTGCCTGCGTCTGGCGGCTTGCAATGAGACCTCGCGGGCCTGCGCGGCCCTGGAGTCGGCAGAGGCGGCACCTGACACGGAAAGTACGATGCAACGTCTGCGGAGCAAGCATCCCGTCGCAGAGCGACCGACTCCAGATTGGCTACCGACTTTCCAGGATACTGCCCTTGTGCTCTCTATGGATCACCTCCGCCGCGCCATCTTCACAGCCCCGCGCGGGTTGTCTGGAGGATCGACAGGCTGGGTTGCCGAGCATCTTCGAGATACTTTCCTTGCCTTTCATGAGAGCCTCCCTAGCCTGCTTGCCGTGTACCAGCTTTGACTGCGAGGCTACTGCGCCCCGGCAGCTCGGTCGCTATTGGCATCGTCCACCCTGGTCGCTCTCGCGAAACCGAACCTGGATGTGCCTCCTATCGCGATAAGTGAGGTGCTGATTCTCATCTTTTCTCGCGCAGTATGCTTGCAGCTGCGGGACCAGATGGCTAGAGTTTTCCTCGCATCACAGCAGTTTGGGGTGGGCGTTACCTGTGAGACAGAGGTCGTAGTTAGAGGCGTTCGTCGCGCCCTGGATGACTACCCTGACTGGGTGGTTCTTCAGGTGGACGTGGCGAACGCCTTTAACTCGTTTCATCGAGACGCCATGTTCTAGGCCCTCTACACTAGTGCTGATTTCCGTTGTCTTATTCCTTTCATTCGCCTTTTCTACGGGACACCCTCTGATCTCCTTTACCGGGCGAATGGAGGGGTGACCACCATTCACTCGGAGCGCGGGACCCGTCAGGGCGACCCGCTCAGCCCTTTCCTGTATGCACTCACACAGCGCATGGCTCTACAGCCAGTTCTAGCTGAGGGCGATGTCCAGCTATGGTCATACGCAGATGACACTTACGTGCTGGGCCCTCCTTCCAGGGTGCTACACCACTTCGCAGAGATTCTGAGGCACTTGCGCGAGTTGGGCCTTGCGGTCCAGCCACACAAGTGTCTCGTCTACGGCATGGATTTTGTGACTTCCAGGGAGGTGGAGGCCTTCTCGAGTCTGGGGATTGAGGTCGCTCGTAGAGGACTCACCGTCACGGGAGTGCCGGTGGGCTCTGACGCTTTTGTGGAGAGGAGCCTACCTGAGCGTCTGGAGAGCATGAGGCGCGTGTTGCCGTGGCTTCCGAGACTGCGCCAGCCCCAGACAGCGGCCTGTCTACTTTCGGCATGCGTCAGCACGCGACCGCAGTATCTGGCGAGGACGGTCCCTCCGACCCCAACTGTACGTGCCAGTTTTGCACGGTGGGATGAGCGGTTGGGGGAGACCTTTCAATAGCTTCTGGTGCCTGGGACTTGGACTTGTAGAGAGGACGTTCGTGAGGCTGCCCTGGACCAGATCTACCTCCCCATACGTCTAGGGGGTTTTGGCATCCGACGCATGGAGCATATCGCCCCGGTGAGTTATGCGTGCTCTTGGGTACAGTGCGCGCCGATCCTTTGCTCCCTCCTAGTGTGCGGCGCGAGCTTGTGTCTCTTGGCACTCTTGTGTCTCTGCTGCCCCTGATTCTCTTTTCACAGGAGTGAGCCGCGTCTTGGAGGCGCGGGCCTTGGAGTCAGTCCGGGCCCGTCACACTAACCCCTTGCACCTTGCCCGTTTGACATCCCTTCAGAGCGCAGGTGCAGGCGCGTGGTTGACGGCAGTGCCGTACGGAGACTCGCTGCGCATCACAGAGCCTCAGCTTTCCGTCTCGGCCTCCCTGTCCCCCAACTAGCCCTCACAGGTCGGTGTTCTTGTGGGCAGGCGATCGACGACATGACGGTACCTCACCACGTGGTGCGGTGCTCCCGCTTCGGCGTCGCCACGGTCATCCACGATGCCGTGAAATACATGCTTTGGGACTTTGCTTCTGAGGCAGGTTTCGCGGTGAAGGTGGAGGACACCACTTTGATTCAGCACCTGGAGGCACCTAGAGCATGACCGCATGGACTCTCGGGGACGGGGGACGGGGTACCGGGACAGTCAGGGGCACCGTGGGGTCAGCACCAGCAGCAGCAGGGTGGGCTCGGTCGAGGGGCTGATGGGCAGGAGGGCCGAGAGGGGCACGATGGGCTGGCTAGTGGGGGAGAGGAGGGGGGACAGCAGCAGCAGCGGCAGCAGCAGCAGCAGCAACAGCAGCAGCTAGGCCAGCAGGGGAAGGAGGGGCAGACCCGTAGGGGTGAGGAGAGGGGACAGCATGGACAACAGCAGCAGCGGGGCCAGCAGGGGCAGGAGGGGCTAGCTAGTGGGGGAGAGGAGAGTGGACAGCAGCAGCAGCAGCCGCAGCGGCAGCAGCAGCACCGTCAGCGGCAGTAACAGCAGCAGCAGCAGCAGCAGCGGCAGCAGCAGCAGGGCCAGCAGGGGCAGCGGCAGCAGGTTTGTAGGGGAGAGGAGAGAGGGCAACAGCGGCAACACCAGGGAGGTCAGCAGGGTCAACAAGGGCGGCAGCAGGAGGGTCAGCATGGGCAGCGACGTGAGGGTCAGCAGGGGCAGGCTGGCTGGGAGGAGGAGAGGAGACAGCAACAACAGCGATGACAGCAGGAGGGCCAGCAGGGGCAGGAGGGGCAGGCCAGTATGGGAGAGGAGAGAGGACAGCAAGAGCAGCAGCAAGAGGGTCAGCAGGGGGAGCACAGGAAGGTCAACAGGGGCGACAACAGGAGGGTCAGTGGGGCCAGGCTACTAGGGGAGAGGAGAGGGGACAGCAGCGGCAGCAGCAACAGCAACAGCATGGCCAGCAATGGCAGGAGGGGCAGGTTGGTGGGGGAGAGTAGAGAGGACAGCACAGCCAGCAACAGGAGGTTCAGCAGGGGCAGGAGAGGCCGGCGAGTGGGGTAGAGGAGAGGGGACAACAGGGGTAGCAGCGGGATGGTCAGCAAGGTCAGGTCGGGCTCTGGGTCCAGGGGGCGACCCAGCCCTTGGGTGCGAGCTGGTTCGAGGAGAGAGGGAGAGAGGAGGTGGCGGGGGACACGACTGCGGGAGCGCGGGGGTTAAGAGGGGAGGGTATGGAGGGGGGGGATAGGGCGAGGGTGCTGGGGGGTTTGGGGTTGGGGAGAGGGGATGGGAGGAGGCAGGTGGGTGGGGGAGAGCGTAGAGAGGCAGAGACAACAAGGGAGGAGGCACAGAGGGACCAGGCACAGCAGTAGCGAGTACAACAGCAAAGGCAGGCTGGACGCACAGGCCGCATAGGGGCACCAGCCCGCATTTCAGACCTGACTTGCCGCGATATAGAAAAAACTTTGATGGTGTTGGTAGATGTCTCCATTGCAGATCCACAGCAACGGGGGAATACCGGGCTTAGACGAGTGGCCCCAATGCAGATAGGTATAGCAGCAGCCAGACGAGTGCAGGACAAGTTGTGGGATTGGGCACCGCATCTAGAGGGATTAAAACCGCCGCCACATTTTTATGCTTGTATAGTGGAGACGTTTGGGTTGCTCAACGAGCCAATAAGGCAATTTCTAGGGCTTTGTGCGCGGCGGATTGCACAACGACGTAAAGACTTGGGGGGGGGGGGGGGAGGGGGGGATGACGGGTCAGCCCGGATTTTCAAGATCGGACTCACTACACGACTTTTCGTGGCACTGCAACGAGCGCAGACTTAGAGTATTATACAGCACGCGGTGCGGCAGTTGGGGGGGTCAGACGATGGGTGGATGCTCGCACCAGTCCCTTTGAGTGCACGGCAGGGCAATTGGCATCACATTAACGGCTGCTTTGAGAGCGTGGCAGACATGCAGTATATGTACGATGCATATGTGTAGGCGTTTAGCGATTGTGCTTGAAAGGCTGTGTCCCGCGCTGTGGTGCGGGTTGCTGTGGTGTTTTGGTCCTTGGGTGTTTCCTTCCTTTAGTTCCCTCTCTTCTTTTCCTCTTTCCACCTTTCCTTCGGCCTTCTCTTCTTCTCCAGCTCTTCTCTCCTTATCACCCTGTCTTTGTTCCACCATTTCTACCTTCCTCTAATACCCCTTATCTTAATTACCACGACTTTGTATCAAACTTAATCCATAATAAAAGAGTACTCAAACAGAGCATCTTCTCTTTTCAGTCAGCATAAGTCCAGTAGTCTACCTGATTGGCCATCAGGCTACACCTCTTTTCAACCAACTCAGAAAATTAAGTGCCAGCAATGGACATTCCTAGAACCTAGTTAGTGCGAAAGACGGTTCTCATCAGACCATGGAATGTTCCTTCCTAGTAAATGACGTTGTAAACATTGGTAGATTTGCTTCACGCAGACATGTCCATTCCACGTTTTGCGGCGCTGAATGAGTGCTGAAGGACGTTCTGCTTCCCAATGCAGCCAGCGAACAACCAGAAATAATCGGATCCGACCTTGTTTATACCCTAAAAGCACCAAAACTCCCAAGAAAACTCGGTTTCCTGTTTATCAGTAACCCGTCAGCTCGGGTGCCTCCTTTGCTGTCAAGCTGATCCAGAGTCCAGATTACGCGTGGTGTATGCTCACTATGTCCGAAAGCATTTCTATCGCAGAACTTTGTTCGCTGAACCCAAGGATTCGTAGCTGTGTCGTAGCTCCGTCGGCCATTGTCGCTAGTCCGTATATGGTCCGAGCGACGGTGGATCGCATTTAGCCGCGCGCACCGCGGACGCGGTCGGCTGGAGGGGTAGTATTCGCAACCTCACAGGCCGTCGTAGCCAGATATAAGCATCCGTCACAGTACATTGTCGTTTTGAGACGTCGCAAAAACCCATTTCGTAACCTCACAGTACTGTAGTAAGCATTTGTGAACGAAGAATAAACTTGCACCCTTGGTCAGTGTATCGCCTCAGTCAGTCCCTACTCCCCAGTGTTCCCCATCCCAGCCGTTCTTCCCCTTCACCCCCTCCCTATCCCCCCCCCTCACCCCAACCAACTCACTCTTATCGCATTCGTTGTTTGATATCTTTCAACATAGAAACAGCGCATCCGGGCTGTAGGCGGAAAATTATTTTCTGCCCCCCTCCATCTCTTTTCCCCCCTGATGTTCACATCCTCACTATTCCTCCGCCGGTTGTCCCCACGGACTTTCCCACCCCTCCGCCTCCCTCCTCCCAACCAGCACTGGGAGAGCGCCTATGGGCTGCTGGCGGAGAATACATTCCCCCCCTCCGCCATCTCGCTTCCCCCGGACGTCCCCCCCGCGCCCCACCTGGAGGACTGTGAGGCGCGCACAGCCTTCCGCCTGTCCACGGAGAGATGGGGGGAGCGGGGGAGCCGCCCTACTGGGCTGTTCCCAACCCTGCCTGCGGGAACGTGCCCCAACCCCCCTGGGTGAGAATTATTTCCGTCCATGTGCTATGCGGTGCTGTGCGGTGCAATGCTGTACTGGGCTGTACCCAACCCTGCATGCGGCAACGTGCCCCAACCCCCCTGGGTGAGCCCCAACCGCCCTGGGTACCCATGTGCTGTGCGGTGCTGTGCGGCACGGTACGGTGCTGTACTGTATTCCCGTTGTCTGTCTGTTGACTGATTCTGTGTGTTAGCCGCGCTTTGCAGTCGTACCACATTTGGGATTGTTTCAGCAAAACAATACCGATAAAACAATTAAGCTGCCACAATTAAGCTGCCCTTCTATCCACCACCCCTCACTTCCGACCATCGCTGCCAACCTTGCAGCACTGCCTGAACGCTATAACGAGGGTTCAGTGTATTTTACTGCCCTGCCTTACCCACCACCCCTCGTGCAGATCCGAGGCTCCGATGCTGCCAACCTGGCAGCCACCCGGCAAGCACAAGCTGACATATGGCAACAGCAGTTCCTGCCTGGGCAGTGCAAGGGGCGGCGGGTGATGGTGGTGGAGTGGCTGAGCATGGGGTGGCACGGGATAGGGTCGCAGCTGCACGTGATGGGCGCTGTGCTGAGTGCGGCCTTGCCGCACAACAGGACTCTCGTGCTCATGCCCGCCACTCTGCCCCAAGCGAACCATGCGGAATGCGAGAGTGAGTGGGAGTGAGTAAAAGAGCTAGTGAGTCATTCTATCAGTCAGTCAGGGATGAGTGAGTGATTTAGTCAGTCCGTGGGTGAGTGAGTGAGTAAGACAGTCAGTGGGTGAGTGAGTGAGTGAGTAAGTCGGTCAGTGGGTGAGTGAGTGAGGGAGTGGGTCAGTAAGTGGGTGGTTGAGTGCGTGAGTTAGTGAGCATAGTGCGGCATGAGGTAGTATCAGGCTGACCATGAGGATGCGAGAACGAGTAATTTGAGAGGCTGATTAGGCACGAGACACACACACACAATCTTCCCTCCTCCCCACCCAAGCGCCCCCCACTCTGTCCCCTCCCCTCCACCCACACCCACACGCATGGATTGCATTACGTGGCTTTCCTCCTCGCCCCGTTTGCCTTCTCTCAGAGCTGGGCCGCCGCGGTTCACTCGACTGCTACTTCTTTCGGTTTTCATCCCAGGAGTGTGAGGAGATCGCTCTCAAGGCACGTCAGGCCTGGAAGGCTGCTGAGGAGAGGAAGCAGCAGGCTGCTGCCGCGGAGAAGGAGAGGGAAGTAAGGGAGAGGGGAGAAAAAGAGAGGGAAGAGAATGACAAGGGAGAGGAGCAAGCACCAGGAGGGGGAGGAGGCAGTGGTAAAGGAGGAGAGAGAGATTCAAAGGAGAAAGGAGGGGAGAAAGTTAGAAACGGTGGTGGGAGGAGGCTTTTGCAAGCAGAATTTAAGACTGGGGACGCTGAGGTCCCTCATGCTGATGTAGGTCACACGCAGGTGTCTCATGCTGATAATACAACTGATGGTGCTGATGGGACTGGTGATAATAGCGAGGAGTCCAAAAGAGACGTGACAAACGAGGATGTGATTGTAGCGCAGCCGTGTGACGGTGTGGGGTGTCTGGGCTCGGATGCTCTAGTGATCTTCCCAGCAACGCCGGGGTTTGGAGTGGATGGAGGGTCCAACTTCATCTCCCAGCTAAACGCATCCGCTGCAGAGTGAGTGATGCATGTGCACGTGTGTGACTATAACGAGTCCGTGTGACTGTATGTGTTGTCTAGGCTCGAATGCTCTTGCGATCTTCCCAGCAACGCCAAGGTTTGGTGTGGATAGAGAGAGTGGAAGAGCCTTCTTCCCAATGTGGTGATAGGGCGTATGAGTACACTCACACACACAAGGACCATCCCACGCTCACACACACACAAGATTAAAAAGTGTTTTGAGACGTCTCAAAACACTTGTTCAATCACGTGGCCCTTCTTCCCAATGTGGTGATAGGGCGTATGAGCACACTCACACACACACAAGGGCCATCCCATGCTCACACACACACAAGGGCCATCCCATGCTCACACACACACAAGGGCCATCCCACTCCTATCCTCTCCCCGCGTCTCCCCGTCCTCTCCCTTCCCCTATGCAGCCTCTGGGGCAGGGCGTATCTGAAGAGTCCGCTCCGCAACGAGGTGATGGGGCGTATGAGCCCCACTCACTCACACCAGGGTTGCATCTTGCTCCTATCCCCTCCTTGCTTCTCCCCCTCCTCAATACCCACCTTTCTCTCCCTTCCGCTGTGCAGCCTCTGGGGCAAGGCGTATATGAAGAGTCCTCTCCCCAACGAGGTGATGGGGCGTATGGGCGAGCACACCAAGTTCCTAAAAAAGGTGAGGTAACTTCTGAGTCGGCTCAACGCTGAGTGACCTTTGGTTCGACCCAAAACGGCGAGACTAGTGCAGATTAATGCGGACCTTAAGCTTCTAAGGTGCGTTGGTGGGGTGCGCGGGCGACGCGCTTCATGCTGCATTCGTCTCTGTTCTGCCGTCCTTGTGTGTGCATCTGCTAATCCCCCCTTCCCCCCTTTCCCCACCAGGCGCACTGGTGGAGGGCCCAAGCAACGCGCTTCATGCTGCGGTGGCCGTCAGCCTACCTGTGCCACATCATCAACCGCATCCCCTCCTTCTTTCCCTTCCCTCGCCCTGCTCGTTCTGTTTCCGCTCCCCGTTCAACCGAAGGCGCACTGGTGGAGGGCGCAGGCGACGCGCTTCATGCTGCGGTGGCCGTCGACCTACCTGTCTCTCTGCCCAACCTCTCTCACTTCTCTCTCCCTTCCCCCTCCCGCCTCCCTCCTCCTCCCACCAGGCGCACTGGTGGCGAGCCCAAGCAACGCGCTTCATGCTGCGGTGGCCGTCGGCCTACCTGTGCCACATCATCAACCGCGAGCGCCACCACGTGTACGGCATGCACGTGGCCAGGCAGGTCATGGCGTCCCGCATGGACCAGAAAAGCTTGCTGGCAGAGCCCCGAGGTTTGGAGAGCAACAAGCCTGCTGAGGAGGTGGGAGGGTTTGGGGGCAGAAGCAGGGTTCCTGAGGAGCGGCAGCTGCTGGGGTCTCAGGTGGAGCAAAGGAGCATGCTGGAAGAAGCCGCGGGGAGCAGTAAGTTCTTCGAGGAATTGGGGGGGGTTGGGGGCAGAGGCAGGCTTGCTGAAGAGCGGCAGCTGCTGGGGTCTCGGTTGGAGCAAAGAAGCATGCTGGGAGAGTCGTGGGGTAGAGGCAAGCCATCTGTGTTTTTCCAGAAAGCTTCGAAGCGTTTCTATGGGTCGGGAGGGAGGGAGGGCGGGCAGTGGATGAGGAGGAGGGTGAAAAGGAGTGGGGATGGGGAAGGGAGGGAGGGCAGTGATGTTGGAGAGAAGGCAGTTGGGAGGAGGAGGAGGATGAAGGAGAGTGGGGTTGAGGGCGACAAGGAAGTTGGCCAGTGGAGGGAGTTTGAAGAGCAAGAGAAGCTCGACCTTGGGCCGTCGTCATCCTTATCCTCTGCTTCTGCCACGCCTCTCCCTTCTCCTCTTGCTTCTGCTGCATCTGGTTTTAAAGAAGCCAACCAAGACCGAGGAAGTACGATTACCAGCCAAGAAAGAGGGGGCAGAGGAAACAACCAAGATCGAGGGGATATGACACTCTCCAGCGGGGGTGCACTGAGACAGAGAGGCCCTGGCTTGGAGACGACTGCATGGCCTAAGATGGGGTACCAGGGCTGCAGCTTAGGGAGTGCCACTGCTGCTGCTAACAGCAGCAGAAGCAGCAGCAGCAGCAGCAGCAGCAGCAGAGCATTAGGAGATGTGGAAGGGGAGCGGTATGGCTGGGATCCTTATCTTGCGAACTATGAGGGGTTGGGACGAAAGCCGTATGTCCCGCGGCCGATAGTGAGCGTGCATGTGCGGCAGGGCGACAAGTCGTTTGAAATGCGGCTCTTCTCCTTCTATTCCCTCATGTTCATGGCTAATCGGGTGCGGCGGGCATTTCCCGCCGTGCGATACGTGTGGCTCAGCACTGAGATGCAGGTGAGGAGGGGCGAGGGGTTAATTGCAGGGTAGAGGGCCAGAAACATGCAGGTGAGGGGGAGAGGAGGGTGGGCAATTGCAGGGGAGAGGTTGGGAAATACGCAGGTGAGGGGGGAGATTCAGCTGTTCTCCTTCTATGCGGTCATGTTCATCGCCAACCGCACGTGGCGAGGAATTTCCGTTGTGCGATACGCTTGGCTCAGCACTGAGATGGAGGTGAAAGGGTTTGAGGGAGATGGGGCAGCAAGATGCAGGTGAGGGGGTTGCAGCACAGAAATGCATGTGGTTGGGTAAACAGAGCCAGGTTTTAAGAATATGTGTTTACTCTCTGCTCCGTCCGTGTGGCTGCCATGCTGAGTGTTGTGGACCAAGCAAGTCGATTCACAGACTGGACTTTTTTCTACTCGGAGGTTCCAAGGCAAGGAGCTGGAACGAGAATGTCTGATTACACTGAAAAGTTTGGCCTGGCATGCACCGTGGGAATAAGCTTTGCGAACCTGCTTATCGCTTCCGAATGCGACCATTTTGTTGGCGTCCTGGCGTCGAATTGGAATAGGATGATTAACGAGCTCAAGAACACCAATGGGCGCTTATATAGTGGGTACGTGTCGTTAAACAATGACGAGTGGTGATTTCGGTTTGCTGCTTTGCTATGGCTGTAATGCCATGCGTTACCATGGATTCAACGCAATATTTAAGTAGGAAGCTCGCAAATTCCTCATGAAGTACCCTTGACTGTAAGATTGTTCTTAACTGTAAAAGCTACATTTTCCTTCCTCGTGCTATAGCGAATCCATCTTCCGCTTCTCTGACACGCGCTGTCAGCAGTACCATTCTGCATTGTAGTTCAGGCCTCGAGCTGGTGTATTGCGGCGTTTTCTAGATCGGTATTCAATGCTCTGATCTAATGCAAGAGATGCACCAAGCGTCGTTTCCGAGGTTCCCTCCTGTGATTCAGGGCGTGTCCAGCGCGTATGTTTTCCGTACATTACAGTTCATTCAGTGCGGTAATTTGTATTGCGTCACGCTTCATAACGGTGAAATTTCAGAACCGCTGTGCACCATCTAATATCTTTTCAAACCACGACGAATGAACTGTATAGGATCTGTAAACGTACGCGCTGGACCCGCCCTCTCAGAGCAGCAACATCTGTCGGGCTCGAGAAGCCAGGCTCCAGGGATCCTGCTTCTCCCATTCGCTAAACAGACACCCTCGCGTGCAGATTTTTAGCTTGACAGATACAATAGCCCAGCAGTTCTTTAGTTAACTCTTACGTCTAGATTCCGGAGCTCGTGGCATTTGTTTGACTGAAAATATCAGGCTTTCACCAGTCGATATTACTGGATTCCATTTGCGAAGTTGCTACCGCGAGTTTATGTCGCTTCGCGACAGTTTTGTGGCGCCCTGAAAGGCGTCGCTCAGAACAGCATAACCGCATCGTCATTCAGGACGTCAATTCTCGGACAAACTTTTCTTAGAACGTTGCGCACCGTAACTGCAACTCCCACTCCAGCTTTTCCTCGAGTGACCCCCCACCGTTTCAAAATTCGTCTCCCGTGAGTCACTTTCGAGATTCTCAAAAGTGACATCGCTGTTTCAGAATTCATCGCGTTTTGGGACTGGTGCAGCCAGGCGTAGCCGACGGCCATGATTCCTCCGGCGGCCATGGATCCGGAGATGGTTCGGCTGGCACAGGAGCAGATGAGCCGCATGTCGCCTCAAGACATTCAACGCATGCAGCAGGTGAGAATTGTGTGTGTTTTTTTATTCGACTCAGAACACACCTGTTTCTCGCTATAAGATGACGCGGCGAGTCGGAATTGCGGTCAAGAGGCAGTTGTATGAAGCGCAAGCTGTTTCGAGGCTCCCCCGTGCCTTCCCATGCAGATGATGACGCCGGACATGATTCGTCTAGCTTTTGAGTCGACTCAGAAGTCACCTCCTTCCCATGCAGATGATGACACCGGACATGATTCGTCTAGCTTTTGAGTCGACTCAGAAGTCACCTCCTTCCCATGCAGATGATGACACCGGACATGATTCGTCTGGCCACAGAGCAGATGAGTCGCGTGTTTCGCTCTTCGCATCCTCTCAGTTTCAACCACCCCCCTCCCCCCCACCCTTCCCCCCCCCGCCCCCCTCTCCCCCTCCTCGGTGCCTACCCATCCAGATGATGACGCCGGACATGATTTGGCTCGCCACAGAGCAGATGGGGCGCATGTCACGAGAGGAGTCTTTGGTTGAGGCCAAATAGACCCCTCCCTCCTCAATCCCCTCCCTCCACCTCTTCCCTGTGCTGCAGATGATGACCCCAGACATGATTCGGCTGGCAACGGAACAGATGGGGCGAATGACACCGGAGGACATGCGGCGGGCAGCCGAGCAGATGAAGCACCTCAGCCCCCAGCAGATCGCCTCCGCCATGGGCTCTGCCGGTTCTGCTGGCGGGGGGATCCCAGGGGCAGCGGCCGGAGGAGGGGGAGGAGGGGGAGGGGGAGTGGGAGGGGGAGTAGCAGGGGGGTTGCCGGATGTGGCGTCGTATATGAGCCAGCGGCAGCAGTACGAGCTGAACGCTGCAACAATGCTCAAGAACGAGGTTAGTGGCTCCGGGTCTCCACTGGTCCTTTTTGGGTGCCTTGAAAAGTAGCAGGGGGAGGGGTGGGAGGAGTGGGACGGGGAGCAGCAGGGGGCTTGCCGGACATGGTATCGTATGTGAGCCAGTCCAGAGGCAGCAGTACGCGCTGACCGCTGCAAAGATGCTCAAGAATGAGGTGAGTGGTGTTGCCTTCACACTCCCCGTTCTCATTGGGTTCTTACGAATCAATCAGGGACCATCGTATATGAGCCAGAGGCAGCAGTACGAACTGAACGCTGCAATGATGCTCAAGAATGAGGTCGGTGTATTTAAATTTAAGTTAACTATTTGTTTGGCTTTCTTTCCGTACTCCTCTGCTGCTTTATCGCCGCCTCTTCTCTTCTTCCTGGTTTTTATCTTTCGTTTTCTCCTCCTTCTACACCATCTCGTACTCTCTCCCACCTCAAAGCTTCCGCCCCTCGCCCTCGCACCCTTTCCATCTCCCTCCCTCCCTCCCACATGTGTGTGTGTGTGCAGGGCAACAAATTGCACGGGATGGGAAAGTACTCGGAAGCTGCAGAGAAGTATAACAGGGTATGTGTGTATGTGGCATGGAGAGAGAGGGGGTGTGGGAAGAGCTAGGGAAGTGTGAGTATTGTTCAAGGGACAAAAAGATTGAGAGGGACTTAGAGGGATGACAGTCCGATTTAGTAGCTGCAAGGAAGTTCAACAGGGTTGGTGTGTCACCTTCCCTCCCTTTCTACCCTGGAATGTGTGTATGGAGAGAGGGTAGGTGTGTATGTGGATGGAGAGACTGGTGGAAGGGAGGGGGAGTGCCAGGGGCATCCTCGCAAAGCACTCATCCCCAGCAGCAGTGTCCCTGCGTCGCACATGTGCAGTCAACCTCATATCCTGCCACCTCAACACCGACTCGTTCCCCTTGTTGCCCTGCTCTTTCACAGGCACGGGACAATTTAGCCATCCATTCGTCCCCAGCAGCGGTGTCCCTGCGGCGCACGTGTGCAGTCAACCTTATGTCCTGCCACCTCAAGACCAACTCCTTTCCCCTCGCTGCCCTGCTCTCTGCCATCTCCCATGCAATCACCCAGTGCCGTCTCTCCCCTTCTCTCCCCTTCACTCCTTCCCAGGCACGGGACAATCTAGCCATGCACTCCTCTCCAGCAGCGGTGTCGCTGCGACGCACGTGTGCAGTCAACCTCATGTCCTGTCACCTCAAGACCAACGCCTTTGCCCATGCTGTCTCTGTTGGCACTCAGGTGAGTCTCTGTTGGCTTTCAGGTGGGTCTCTGTTGACTCTCAGGTGGGTCTCTGTAGGCGCTCAGGTGTGCCTGTGTTGAGTTATTCTAGCAGATGTTAATCAAAATATGACCCTGTAATTTCGCGCTCACGCGCTCAGGCGCTCAGGTTGTGCCCTCCGGACACTCCCTTCTGATTAATCCGTTTGATCTTGCATTGTGGCTTTCCCCGCGCTGTTCTGACTTTGTACATCATGCTGTCTTGTTCGTGCCTATTTACCCAGGTAATTTCCGAGGATGGGTCTAACCTCAAGGCGCTGTACAGACGAGGATTGGCTTATAAGGAGCTCGGGCAGCTGAAAGTAAGTGCCCGGGTTTGGGTTTAGGATGAGTAACAGACGGCATTGAACTGCTCTTGTACTGTGTCTATTCGGTTGACATGCCCGACCCAAGTAAAATGGTTCGTGTCAACGGTTTTGTTTGCTTGTAGTTGTTTGTCTCTTCCCACAAGAAAATTTACTCCCTGCTTACCCCCCATCCACCCACCCTTTCCGCTGTGCAGGAGGCAGCAGCTGACCTGTCTAAAGCGGCTCAGATCTCACCAGATGATGAAACGCTGGCAGGCGTGCTCAGGTGGGCTGGCTGCCTGCCTGTGGGCACACTGCTTGTATTAGTCTTGAGACTTGTCGAAACTCACCCGGTGCATTCATGAGACCTGTTGAGAGCCGCTCAGAGTTCATGCTCAGATGATGAAACGCTGGCAGGCGTTCTCAGGTGGGCTGGCTGGCTGGCTGGCTATGAGAGACCTCCCATATCCACTAGTAGCATACGAGTTTTGAGACTTGTCGAAGCACGCCAGTCTCATCTTTGAGAACGCTGGCAGGCATGCTCGGGTGGGGTGCAGCCTGCTGGCAGGCACTGAGTAATCCTTGATTCCTGATTGCCATCCATATCATCAAGCATGCACGTACGTAAGCATGCACTGCACTGGGGTAGAGGTGGGGGAGTGTAAAGTCACAAGTGGGGAAGAGCAGCAAGTCAGATTCCGGCTTTCCTACTCTCCATTTTCTGTCTCCTTCCCCCAACCAATCCGCTGTGTTGCTTATTATATTCTTAATTTCTTGGTCCCTCTCCGTATGCCTCCCTTCCCTTTTATTCATGCATTCAGAGAAACCAAAGCAGCACTGGAAGCTACAAAGAAGAAAGGTATGCTAGTTGGTAGTGCAGATAGTGTGATGTATGCATCTCAACAGTGCACTTTGTTCCCTGCTCTCCTGCTTTCACCCCTCTCTTTGTCTAGATTCCCATTTCATCATCCAGGTTCCGAAAATCCCTTCTCCTTCCTGCCCCCGCCTTCTTCCTCTCCACTCATGAACCATCATCACTTCATCTATGCCTTTGAATTTCGCTCTCATTTTCAATCGCCCATTTCTTTCCTCCCGCCGTCTTGCCTCCCTGCCCATCCTTCCCCCCCTGCTGCAGTTTCTCTGGAGGACATCGATGAGGGCGACGATGCTCCTGCTGCCTCCGCTGCTGTGTTTGGGCTGCTGATTGGCACCATCACCAGCACCACCTACAGATTAGATACCCCCCTTCCCACACCCTGCTCCCTCCTGCCTGTCCTTCCCCTTACCGCTGCAGTTTCTCTGGAGGAAATCGATGAGGGCGACGATGCTCCTGCTGCCTCCCTGGCTGGGTCAACTGCTCCCGGTGCAGTAGTTTCCCCATCAGCAGCATCAGTGGCAGAAGCACAACCAGCAACGGCGGCAGCAGCAGTGGGCAGCAATCCGCTGTTCATCCCTCCCTCGGTGCCCACCATGTCTCCTGATCTCTCCGCCACCGACCCTGCTCTCGTGCGGTGAGTGGTGTGAATTTTGATGCCTTGTCATGCCAGCAGCAGCATCACAACCAGCAGCGGCGGCGGCAGCAGTGGGAAGCAATCCGCTGTTCATCCCTCCCTCGGTACCCACCATGTCTCCCGACCTCTCTGCCACCGACCCTGCTCTCGTGCGGTGAGTGGTGAATCGTCATGATGCCTTGCCATGCCATCAGCAGTATCAGTGGCAGAAGCACAGCCAGCAACATGCAGGCGATGATGACGAGCATGGATCCAGCAGCGGTGGCGGCGCTGAGTGGCTGTACTAACAGGCAACCCCAAGAAGCAACCCTGAGTGACACTCCCTTCTGTTGGGCTTACACAAACTCCCTGCCCCTCTCCTTCTACTCCCCCCAGCAACATGCAGGCGATGATGACGAGCATGGATCCAGCAGCAGTGGCGGCGCTGAGTGGCGGCGCCCTATCCCCCGAAATGGCCCGCACTGCAGCGCAGCTCGTCGGCTCCATGTCCCCGGAAGACCTCCAAAAGATGATGCACCTTGCTTCGACCTTTAGCCAAGCTGGGGGTGGGGTTGCTGGGGGGACGGGGAGCGGGGGTGTAGGGGGAACGGGGGGACCAGGGGGCGCAGGGGGGACTGGGGGAGTGGGGGCAGGAAGATCTGCTGGTGGCACTGGGAGCGGCGGCGGCGGCAGTGGCAGCAGAGGGAGCGGCAGTGATGATTCCGATCCTGTATTGACTCCCACAACGGGGAGCGCAAGCAGCAGAAGCACAGCTAATGCCGCTGCTACTGCTGCTGCTCCTGCTGTTACAGAGACCACGTATGGCATGCCTCCAGGATTTGGGAGAGAAGCTGAGGCAGCAGGGGGGGCAGCAGGAGGGGGGGGGTTCAGTGGAGGAGGGATGGGAGCGGCTGGGATGCCGGCGCCAGGTGTCGGCGGGGGATTGGACCCGATGCAGCTGCAGGAACGGCTGTTGAACGACCCTTCCACTGTGAAGGTGAGGCCAGGTTTGGGCTTCACCCCATCTGTCCCATTTTTTAGGCGCCTCAGAAGGGGCTTCATCCCATCTGTCGCATCTGTCCTCCTATAACCTCACCCCACACACACCCCTCCAGCTGATGAGCGACATGATGCAGCAGTCGAGTGCAGAGGACATCGCAGCCATGAGCTCACACATGGGACAGAGCATGTCGGTGGAGTGGAGTGTGCATGAATCTTCTGCTCTTTTCCCCCTACCTGTACCCTCATCACTCTTCCCCAACCCACCGCACCCCACCCTACTCCTCTCAACCAGCTGATGAGCCACATGATGCAGCAGCTGAGCGCAGAGGACTTTTTTTTTTTTTTTTTTTTTTTTGGGCTTAAGGAGATCCCTGGAGGAAACCAGGCCCCCTGAGGGGTAGGCACTTCGAGTAAGCAGCATTATACTCGGCTGTGCAGTGCTCCGCAAAAACCCCCATCGATCACCATAAGCGCGTGTTTTGAGGCGCCTCAAAAGTCGCAAAAACCCCCATCGATCACCATAAGCGCGTGCCCCGTTTCGGGGACAGCCGTACCCTGATGGGCGTTGGCTTCAGTGGGGAAGGAGCGCGGAGGACATTGCAGCCTGATCTCACGCATGGGGCAGAGCATGTCCATGGAGTAGGCAGAGCAGATGGGTGGATGAATCGTATGCCCCACCCCACCCTTCCCCACCCCACTGCACCGCACCCAACCCCCTTCCCCCCAGCTGATGAGCGACATGATGCAGCAGCTGAGTGCAGAGGACATCGCCGCCATGAGCTCTCGCATGGGGCAGAGCATGTCCGTGGAGCAGGCAGAGCAGGCCAAGCGCATGATGCAAGGGCTGGGCCCTGAGCGGCTGGCTACGGTGGTAAGTGGTGGTGTAGGGTGCGTGTTTGCTATTGGAAAAGTAATAAGTGTGCATGGGGCAGAGCATGTCCGTGGAGCAGGCAGAGCAGGCCAAGCGCATGATGCAAGGGCTGGGCCCTGAGCGGCTGGCTACAGTGGTAAGTGGTGGTGTAGGGTGCGTGTTTGCTATTGGAAAAGTAATAAGTGCGCATGGGGCAGAGCATGTCCGTGGAGCAGGCAGAGCAGGCCAAGCGCATGATGCAAGGGCTGGGCCCTGAGCGGCTGGCTACGGTGGTAAGTGGTGGTGTAGGGTGCGTGTTTGCTATTGGAAAAGTAATAAGTGCGCATGGGGCAGAGCATGTCCGTGGAGCAGCCAGAGCAGGCCAAGCGCATGATGCAAGGGCTGGGCCCTGAGCGGCTGGCTACGGTGGTAAGTGGTGGTGTAGGGTGCGTGTCTGACATTGGAAAGGTAGTAAGTGCGCATGGGGCATAGCGTGTCTGTAGAGCAGGCAGAGGAGGCCAAGCGCATGATGCAAGGGCTGGGGCCTGGGAGGCTGGCGACAGTGGTAAGAAGGGGGTCTGGTTGCTGTGTGTGTAAGGAGTGTATGGTGCACAGCAGAGCATGTGGGTGGAGTGGAGCAGGCAGAGCAGGCCAAGCGCATGATGCAAGGGCTGGGGCCTGGGAGGCTGGCGACAGTGGTAAGAAGGGGGTCTGGTTGCTGTGTGTGTAAGGAGTGTATGGTGCACAGCAGAGCATGTGGGTGGAGTGGAGCAGGCAGAGCAGGCCAAGCGCATGATGCAAGGGCTGGGGCCTGGGAGGCTGACGACAGTGGTGGGATGGGAGGTTGGTTACCGTGGTGAGAGGGGGGGGCTTATATCTGTGGTAAGACGGGTAGAGGTAGCTTAATTGTGTGTGGGACATCAGATGGGGGGGGACATCAGATGGGGAGTGCATCAGATGGGGAGTACATCAGATGGGGAGTGCATCAGATGGGGGAATTCATCCGATGGGGATTTGGGTTGTCCCCCTTCTTGCATCTTCCTTTCTCGCATTGCAAGTGAGGCATGCTCGATTGACACATTAGCTTTAGCAGTGGGTGGGGCGTGTGTGAGCTTCACTTGACTATGCTTACTTCACTAGCTCCCTGTCACCCCGCTACACCCCTCTCTGCTCCACTTGTTTGTCACATTTGCAGATGAAATTTGCCCAAAAGGCACAAACAGCTGCAGCAAGATTTCAGGAGGTGGTGCGCTGGCTGCTGCAACGGCCAGTGCTTCTGGCCTCCATCATTATCCTCATTATTGCGGTCTTCATTCATTACAAGGGCTGGTTCTCTTGATTTAAAGGCGAAAATAGGTGCACACGATGCATGAACATGGTATGGCACCATCCATCAGGTTCTGAAGATCAAAACTCGAGCCATAATTTTCCCTATGACCCTACACTAATTATGGCCTTTGTAACTGAGACTAACCCGTATATCAGGATTATCATAAGCGAGGGTGTGTCAGACAATGTGCTTGTTCAGCAAGTGCCCATGAAGCAAGGGAACCGTTTTAGATTGCTCGTTAAAGTGGTCAACCGTTTCTTGTAACCCTTCCAATATATTTTCCGTATCTACTGTATCGTTTGTCGGGAATTCCTTGGACAAGAAGTCGTATGGTCAGGGAACTGCATATTTTTCAAGGTGCGTGTTTTGGTGCCTCAGTAGCGGCGATAGTCTCTCACGATCGCGCTTCCCACGTATTTGCGACCGTCAACGACAGCGACGATCGCAGCGTCGACTCCGTACAACGATCGTTCCGTCAACTGAACGGTGACGTCAACCGCGACGAGCTCGCCTCTCCATGGCCGCCAGTAAGCCTCTGCGAAGCGCGGCACGATCGAGGTGGCCTTGGCCGCGGATCGCGGGAGCTGCGATCCTTGCCGGTGCGACTCTCGGCGTTACTTACAGCGTCGCGGACGATGCTCTGCTCTTCTACCGATGCAGCAGGTAGCCGTTAGATCGGCTCTTATGTCATCTTAGCCGTTGGATCGTCTATTACATCCTCTTAGCCGCTGGTTTGTCGATCATGTCCGCTTAACCGTAGGATCATCAGGCACCCTTTTAGCCGTTATGTTCGTCGATCATGCTCTCTTCTTACCGTTACGGTAACCGTTAGGATCTCCAAATCGTTCTTAACGTTAGGGTAGTCGATCGTGTCCTCTTATCCGTAGAATCGCCCGCTATCCTTCTCGGCCTTTGGATCGACAACTTTTAAATTATCAAGTCCTCGTTTGTTACGCTTCAAAAGTCCACTTTACCACCACGTCTTCACCTTGTGTGTGCGTCTTCGTCGCTGCCAGTACAGTGAAGCATTGGAGGTCGCTCCCAGTACAGTGAAGCATTGGAGGTCGCTCCCAGTACAGTGAAGCATTGGAGGTCGCTGCCAGTACAGTGAAGCATTGGAGGTCGCGAACCGGAACGAGCAGCTGTTGTTCAAGACAACGATTGAATCACTCTTACCGTAAAAGGGGTAGAAAGCCTAAATTAATGATTATGCTACCGCTGTCCTGTGCGTCCTGTCGTTGTCAGGACATTGAGGCTTCGGAGGTGGCGAGTCGCAACGAGCAGCTAAAGGCGGCGATTGGATCGAAGATAACGCGAGTCCCTTGGTACAGCGCCACCATGGGTACTTCCCACCTCTCTCATCCCATCCAACCGCACCCCGCCCCACCCCACCCCTCCCACCGCTCTCATCCCGCTGTCAGGACAGTGAGGCATTGGAGGTGGCGGGTCGGAACGAGCAGCTAAAGGCGGCGATCGGATCGCCGATAACGCGAGGCCCTTGGTACAGCGCCACTATCGGTACTTCTCATGGCGGACGCGCAGCTTCCGCGACGTTCCCTGTGGAGGGACCGCAGGGCTCTGCGCTGTTTCACCTTCGCGCGATCAGAACGCACGGTCAGTCAGTCATATTGTCAGTCAGTCAGTCAGTCGGTCGGTCAGTCCGTCTGACTGTCTGTCGTTAAGTCACTCTCTCAATCAGTGAGTTGGTCAAACAGTCACTCAGTTAGTCAGTCAGTCACTCAAGTCTGTCATTTCCGGTCCGTCCATCAGTCAGCCACTTCATCCGTCGGTCGGTCGGTCAGTGGGTCTATTCGTTGGTCAGTCAGTCAGTCGATCTGACTCGGTCAATCCCTCCGTCCGTCCTCATTCCATCCCTCCTCCCATCCCTCTATCCATCCCTCACTTTATCCCTCAACCCATTTCTCACTTCATCCCTCCCTTCATCCCTCCTCTTTCCCATCTAATGGCATATCAATTACCATGCAGGCGGCAGGAGCACCCTCCTTTACAACCTTCAATCAGACGCTAAGTGGCAGCTGTTCGTGCTTCAGGCCACTGTTGCCCCCAGAATAGCGTTGCGAGCTGATACTGCCGCTACTGCTGGTGCTGGGGACTTGAAAGCAAAATCGTCTGCGGTCACCGCGCCAGCTGCAGCAGCAGCAGCAGCACAAGGAACAGCACTGTCGGGAGAAAATGCATTGCCAGCTGAAGCAGCAAGACCAGCACAAGCAGAAGTGCCAGGAGCATCACCAGCAGCAGCAGCAGCGCCAACAGCAGCAGTATCAGCAGTGCCTCAGTCTTTCCGCCTTGACCTTCTATACGGCCCTAGTGGTCCATCTGTGGTGAAAGCTGCTGCAGCGGAGAGTCAAGAGGGAGAGTGCCTGCCTTGCCAAGCACGCACGCAGAGTCCAAAAGACGCGAGCTAACAGCACCACCACTACGAGTAGCAGAAGCAGCAGCAGCAGCAGCAGCAGCCACAGCACTACAAGCAGCAGCAGCAGCAGCAGCAGCAGCAGCAGCAATGCTCAGTCCTTCCGCATTGACCTACCACTAGTGGTCCACCTGTAGTGAAGGCTGTCGCAGCGGAGTGCCACGAAGGAGAGTAAAAGCAGAGCTAGAAGGTAGCTTAGGGGATATAATAAATATGCACAGCTGGTAAGCCATGCACAGGAGCAGGCAGGGAAGCAGGCAGGGAGGCTGAGAGAAAATGTTTGCGAACAGTTACCATAAATTCAGTGACGTGGTGGTTAGCAATGTCATGTATATTACAGTACTACGTATTATTCTTAACACGTACGTTACCTGTCTCAGCTTGCATTATATCTGTAAGCATCTTGAAAATTAGTCTGATACCGTATCAGAGTTCATTCAGACTTTTTTTTTGTACCTAGTCTGAAGTCAAAGTTTTTCTTTATGTACGGTATCGTACCTTGTCTGATTTTTCAGAGTTCTTTTTTATGTATAGGCTGAAATTTCATCCTAATTTTATGAGTGTATGTTCAGCCCTCAGCCTTGTATCGGGGGTGCACTCTGAAACCGGTAATACAGGGGTTTCCGCCAGCCTGGCGACGTGTAGCACTAACACCGTCAATTCCGGACGGGACCAAAATTTCCCGAGCGCGGCACCGCACAGACGCGTTGGTACAGTTCAATTCCAACCTGAAGTTGAATTGTTTGCTCATTAATATTATAATTTTAAACACATTGATGTTTTTCAAAATTGTGTATTGTGAAAGCGAAGCTGACTGTACCGAATATTTGGCAGCGTCGAAGCGCGCTAAACGCCCTTCTCCAACTACAAAAACCGTGGGTTGGAGTTCATTCCCTCCACCCACGTTTCTCGTTTTCCAACGGCTCAATCAACATTTCCGTTCGAGTAGTTCTTTTCCCCGTCCAAGCTGGCTAGAACTCGCACCCTTCCCAGAGGCGAGTCACCCTCAACACTTCTGCAAGACATTTTCAACCACAATCGATCTACAATGGCGTCTACGCCGGCACTTAACCGCGTCAATTCGTCTGCGCCGGTTTCCGACTCCGACCGTAACGCCCGAGAAATGACGGGCGATCGCCGTAACAAGCGGCGGGCAGAGGAAGGATCGCCCGCCCCAACTGCCGTGGACGTGCTGTTGGGCGGGCTCGAGGTCAACAAAAACTCGAGCCCGCCCCAGCAGCAGCACCCCTCGGCCCCTGTGGCGCCTGTGGCGCCTGTGGCGCCTGAGGCGCGTGTGGCGCAAGTGGCGACGGCGGCACCTGCAGCACCTGGGGCGCCACACGCGCCTGACGCGGAGCACACGCCGGCGCCTGTGGCTGGACCGTCGCGTCAGCGCCAGAGGCGCCGAACATCGACTTCTTCTGACGCGACGACCCCGGCGTTGACCAACGCGTTGACTCCGGACCAGGTCGCTGCGCTTCTGTCCCTGTTACAGCAACAACCCGCCAGCGTTACAGCTACGGAAATTGCACAACCCGCGGCGTCTGCATCTGCTAAAAAGGAAAACGCAAAAAAAGAAAAAGGAGCGCGAGGAACAACGGCGAACCGGCACAACAAGGAAGCACCAGCCAGCATCCCACCTGCGCCAGCGGCCGACAACGACACCGACGGCTCCGACGACGATGATGGTGAGGCTCCGGTCCATACCGCAAATTTTCATTCCATGGAGCATCTTCCCCCCCTCCCCTCTACTACTAACACCACTTGGTCGGCGGCGACGTTCAACGACGAGCACGTGCGGGCGAAAGCGGAGATTCTGGAGGACATGCGGGCCTACCTGAAACACGCAGAGCACAAGCTGCAGCACGGCGACTTGGCGGGCGGACTCGAAATGGTCGTCGCCGCCCTCGACGACATTTCCGCGCGCTTCGACATGTTTCAAGTCGAAGACGCATCCGACGACCGCGTTGCCAAGCGCTACAAGATGTACCTGCAGAAAAGCCTTCTCACCTCGCGGCCGTTCAAGCAAGCCGTCGCGGACGTGGCTGCCATGGACCGAGCGGCGGGCGCTCACGCTCGCTCCCACCGTGGTGGAAACCACGGCGCCAAGGCGTTCGCCCCAAAACGTGGCCCTCCAACCTCGGGCAACTTCCAAGGCTTTCGTGGTTCGTGTTTCCGCTGCGGACAGCCAGGCCACGTCGCCAATGCCTGCCCTCGGAATGGGCATGGGGGCCAAGGACCCGCACCGGTTGTGTAAGGTTCGGGCTATGGTGAAGCGCGCCTCTAGGCGCGATGCACGGTGCACTTTTGAGTGCTTAGACCGTGGGCAGCCTAGTAGGGCTTGCGGTGGCCATGGCCAGCCCTAGGATAGGGTGGTAGAAGTTGGCCATAGGCCTAGCTTTGGGGAAGAGGAAGAATGCCTCTCGGTCCCCTAGGATAGGGTAATAAAGTATGGCCGTAGGTCTAGCTTTGGGGAAGAGGAAGAATGCCTCTCGGTCCCCCGTATGCCCCAATTGATGGGATGAGAAACATGCTAGTAGGCATGACAATGTATGACCATGAGAGATAGGGATTTTATTAAAGGCCCCTCTTGTTTGTCAAGGATTAAAAAAAAAAAAAAAAAAAGGAGGAGAAGGGGAGAGGGAGAAAAAGAGAGTACGTACGCTCCTCACTCAAACCGCCACCATGCATGGCAAGGATGAGCAGCCCTGGTTCAACCGTTGGAAGCCCAAAAAGGGTGAGAAGGAGCAAGGGGGGGGGAGTAGGGCATAGCGATGTCGCCTAGCCCAAGTAAAGGCACGCGCGAAAAGACACGAGCTCATGACAAGCGAAGCATGCAAATGCTCAAACAACAATGGAAACACATCCAAAAAGAGAGGGAGAGAGAAAGAGCGAGAGAGAGAGAGAGAGAGAGAGAGAGAGAGAGAGAGAGAGAGAGAGAGAGAGAGAGAGAGAGAGAGAGAGAGAGAGAGCACACGAGGGAAGCATGATCATGGTCCCAAGCATCAATCCTCCAGAAAAAAAAAAAAAAAAAAAAAAAAAAAAAAAAAAAAAAAAAAAAAAAAAACGAGGGGAGGGAAAAGGAGAGAGTATGAGAAAGAGTTTGCCAAGGTGCGATCGGACGCCCTATATGGAATGACGACAAACCGTCCGTATGGTCCTCACTGTTGACGGTTCATTTTTCGCGCATGCATGTATATGTCACACGCATGAACTAATTAAGGCGTGCAACCTGATTGGTCGCGTTCATTCCCTTGCCGTACATACAGGAGCACAACAATACGAGGTGCCTCGCGACGATGGCCCGTACGAATTCGCCGTCACGGACAAAACCGTCACACGGATGTGCGGTCGGCTTCGCTCGACCTTTGCGTGGTGGAGCTCATGGTGCCCTTGCAGCCTCGTCCTATCCATCATCGCCAACGGTTACTGGCTTCCATGGAGCCACGGCCCACCACAGGCCTTTCGGGAGCGTAACCACGCTGGTGCATACGCGCATGCGTCGTTCACTCGTACTGCCATCCAAGAACTCACAGAGACCGGAGCTGCAGTCGAGACAGCCGCAAGCGAGCTTACGTGCATAAGCCCACTTAACGTGGTCGAGCAGAAAGAAAAATGCAGGCTCATCCTCGACCTGAGAAAAGTCAACACAAACCTCATCGTCCCAAAATTCAAGTACGAAGGACTCAGCCGTGTGGCAGACGTGGCACGCGCTGGGGATTGGATGTTTTCTATTGATCTCAAATCCGGGTACCATCACATCGATATCCATCCTTCATGCTGGAAGTTTCTCGGTTTTGGATTCGATGGGCGCACTTACTCCTTTCGTTCATTGCCGTTCGGTCTTGCGACAGCCCCATTCATCTTCACGCAACTCATCAAGCAGCTAGCCCGTCGCTGGCGGGAGCAAGGCATCCGAGTAGTTCCATACGTGGACGACATCTTATTCCTTTGCCAGTCAAAAGCTCACGCGCAGGCTACTTGCCACCGTGTAATACTGGACCTTAAAGCAGCAGGTTTGGTGATAAATGCGAAGAAATCACAGCTGTCACCATCGCAACACCTTCGATTCTTGGGTGTGGAGCTAGACACGGCCACGGGCCGATTTACCATCGGTCCCGAACGACGAGCCTCACTACATGCAACCATTCGGAACCTGTTGAGCGCAAGCAAGGCATGTCGACCCGTCTCAGTCCGCCAAGTGGCCAGAATCACAGGCATGCTCGCGTCAATGGGCGTCGCGCTGGGCGCAACAGCTCGTGCTTTCAGCCACGCCATGCTACAAGTGATCAATGACGCACCTTCATGGAAAAGCAGCGTGATCATCCCCCCAAACGCGGCTGAGGAGCTAAACTTCTGGCTCGAAGAGTTTGATAGGTTCAACGGTGCACCGTTTCACGTTCGAAACAGCTACGACGCTGTCATCCATGTGGATGCTAGCGCTCACAGTTGGGGCGCCACTTTGACCACATTTCCTGGCGGCCTCGAAGAAGCTAGCGCAACAATGCCAGAGCCGCTGCGAGCGACGTCCAGCACACGGAGGGAGATCGAAGGTGTGCTTTGGGCACTCCAGACATACTCCAGCAAGATCACGCACAAACATGTTCTTGTGCGGGTGGACAATCAGGGCGTCTTCTTCATCCTTCGCAAAGGTGGCTCGCGCAGCCCCGACCTTACCACGGCCTGCCAAGACATCATTCGACTATGCATGGAGCACGGCACGCGTCTAATCATCGAATGGATCCCACGGGAGCTAAACTCACACGCCGATGAGCTCTCAAAAGCAGTCGATCATGACGACTACTCGTTGAAGACGCCGTGGTTCCGCATCTTAGAACGGCGTTGGGGTCCCCATTCCATCGACCTCTTTGCAAACTCCCGCAACTCCCAGCTGCCACGCTTCTGCACGAAAATTCCTCATCCACAAGCCACCGCAGTCGATGCATTCTCGCTCGCATGGACATCAGAAAATAGCTTTGCGTTCCCCCCGCCCCATTTAGTTCCGGCCGTCCTCCATCACGCACAGCGCACCCGTGCATCGCTCACATTGATCATCCCACACTGGCCGGGTGCAAACTGGTGGCCACTTTTACAACCTTCCCCACGCAACTGGGCACCGTACATCCACGCGCACATTCCCTTGACACACGGCAGCCAATGCCTGGCAGCTGGAACACATTCCGCTGCTTTTTCAGGCACTGGATTACCACACAGCCCAATCATCGCACTTCGGGTGGTTTTTGACTAATTGAGAATGTACGCGCCTTGTGTCCAGATCCGCTCCCAAAGCTACACAACCAACTCATCAACATGCTCACACAATCGCGAGCGAATTCGACAATCCGTACATACGAACCGTACTGGGCCAAGTTTCGGGCCTTCTGCACAAAGGTGGATCTTCCATTTCTTCCCGCATCCGACATGACCCTCGCGCTATACTTGGTGCATGCAATCCAACGCAAAGCAACTTTGTCTGTAGTGCAGCTCACGTGCTCGGCAGTCAGCTTCGCCCATCGCATGACTGGAAGCAAATGCCCGACTGTCGGACCGTTTACCACCCAAGTGCGGGACTACGCGAAACGACACTGCCCTCGCCCTAGTCGTTTGAAGGAGCCCGTATCAATCCAACAAGTTCGGGACATGTCCGCGAACTACTTGCAGTCGGACAATCCCGCTGAATTTCAGAAGGGGTTGATCCCTATCCTCATGTACTCCGGATTTTTGCGATACTCCGACCTCGTTGCCATCCAGTGGCAAGACATCCAATTCGACGATGCAGTCATGTGGATCCTCATCCCACACTCAAAAACGGACCAGGCTGGTCGTGGAACCTGGATTCCCATCGCCGCAACGACGGACCCTTGTTGCCCCGTGCGCTGCACCCAACGCTTCCTCCAACTCGCTGGCTATGGCCCTCATTCCGAGGGGTCGTTGATTCGCGTTTTCAGCCACGCTTCAGCCAACAAGGGCCAGGCCAAGCCACCCTCGTACACAACGATCCGAAACTGGTGTAAAGAAGCATTCGCCAAAGTAGGACTTGGGGAGCAGCAGCTCGGCACGCACTCCTTCCGAAAGGGCGCGGCAACCGTAGCCGCCAACATCGGCGTGCCGGACAGAATCTTCAAAAGGATGGGCAGGTGGCGAAGTGACACCGCCAAAGAGATGTACGTCACACCATACGTCGGACATCTTATCAAGGCATCCCGCGACCTACAGGACCCGACATACGCGCTGCCCCCAGAACAGCACGCAGAGGCACTCTTACGCAACCGCAAGCCACCACTGGCCATGTCTCAGAGGCCCAAGTTGCAATGAGAACGATGCCAAATTATAAGGACAAGAAAGCAAGCTTTCTCAATATTATAATTTTTAAACACATTGATGTTTTTCAAAATTGTGTATTGTGAAAGCGAAGCTGACTGTACCGAATATTTGGCAGCGTCGAAGCGCGCTAAACGCCCTTCTCCAACTACAAAAACCGTGGGTTGGAGTTCATTCCCTCCACCCACGTTTCTCGTTTTCCAACGGCTCAATCAACATCCCCACCACCCACCCCGGACCAACTACAAGACCACAGCTGCTTGGACGGACGACTCCATAGCTAGTAATATTTGCATGTACTAGCATGTGTTTACGAACGATGCATATGTTGTAATAAGCCAGTTGCAATGAGAACGATGCCAAATTATAAGGACAAGAAAGCAAGCTTTCTCAATCTACCGTATAAAAGAGATCAGCCTAAAATTTGTGTGTAACGCTGAACGTTCAGCCTAAAAAGCTGTCTAGTGTGGTCTGAATTTTCAGCCTGAAAATTGGAGGCAACTCTGACTGACAGAGTTCAGAGAAGGGTGCCTGCTGATTGATCAGCGTGTCCCAAAACGAATCTACGGGCTTGCTTGAAAATTGTTGGGAACAATAAGTCTTAAGCGCCTCTGTCGTGTCGAAACCCAGGACACCAGCGAAGCAGTCCGAATCGAAGCATCGCGAGTCAACCCTCGGAGGTTAGGGTAACCGCCTGGAGGTTACGGGAAAGTCAAAGGTCAGCGACCTTTGACTCGACAATTACAGCGCGACAGCAAGGACACACAACTGACTCGACATTGAGCAGTTGCCCGAGTCGCACTGTATCGAATCGCAACAGTAAAACGGTTTGAGTTTATCTATTCGTATTCCTTGTACTCTTATATAAACCTTTGTATTTGCTTGTTTAATCAACTTACTTTGCCCTCACATACTAGCGCAATGTGGTTCAATCACTCTTTATTTCAACGCTTCCGCTACTACAAATTCTACTCAGACCTTAAGCTCTACAAAGATCCTAGGGCTTCTCAGCCCAACAAAAATTAGGTACGACCGCACTGCAATACGTTACCAAACAGATTGCTTGCTTCATGACAACAAACCAGGACATTCAGTCTGTCCATCTACAGTGTCACTGTCAAAATCGAATCACCACTCCCCATTATTTACAGAGACATACCCATTATACAAGCGTCCATTAGTGTTCTTAAGCTCGTTGATCATCCTGTTCCAATTCGACGCCAGGACACCAACAAAAAAGTCGCACTCAGAAGCAATAATAAGATTCGCGAAGCTGATCCCCACTGTACGCGCCAGGCCAAACTTTTCAGTGTACTCGGACATTCTCGTTCCAGCTCCTTGTCGCGGAAGCTTGGAGTAGAAAAAAGTCCAGTCTGTGAATCGGCTCGACTGATCCACAACACTCTGTAGAACATGGAAAGAAAGAAATAAATAGAAATTGATACTCTCCCCCCTCTCTCTCACCTGCATGTCAGTGCTAAGCCACATGTATGGCGTGTCAGGGTCAATCATTACCCTCTGTGCATGCGGTGGGGCCGCATGAGAGCATTTACCTTACATACAAACTATTCATGCCCGCTCTCACCTGCATCTCAGTGCTAAGCCACACGTATCGCACACCGCTTCCTCCCGTCGCACGCGATTAGCCATGAACATGACTGCATAGAAGGAAAAGAGCCGCATCTCATGCGCCTTGTCGCCCACCTCTCTCTCCCCCTCTCACCTGCATTTCAGTGCTCAGCCACACGTATCGCACGCCGGGATTCTCCCGCCGCACGCGGTTAGCCATGAACATGACTGCATAGAAGGAGAAGAGCCGCATCTCATGCGCCTTGTCGCCCTGCCGCACATGCACGCTCACTATCGGACGCGGGATATACGGCTCCGCTCCCACCCCCTCGTAGTTCGCAAGGTAAGGATCCCACCCGTACTGCTCTCCTTCCAAATCTCCTCCTAACCCTCCGCTACTGCTGCTGCTGTTGCCGCCTTCGCTTCTGCTGCTGCTGCTGCCGCTGCTGCTGCTGCTGCTGCTGCTGCTGCTGCTGCCGATGCTGCGGCTGGCATCAGCAGCAGCGGTTCCATCAGCTAAGCTGCAGCCTTGGTACCCCATCTTAGGCCACGCACACGTTTCCAAGCCACGGCCTCTCTCCCTCTCTGCTGCAGGAGCAGACGAAGCAGCAGCAAGAGCAGAAGAAGCAGCAGCAGGAGCAGACAAAGCAGCAGCAAGAGCAGAAGAAGCAGCAGCAGGAGCAGACAAAGCAGCAGCAAGAGCAGAAGAAGCAGCAGTAACAGGTTGGGGCGTCTCAGAACTAGAGTATGAGGAGGAGGGGGAGGGGGGGGGAGGAGGAGGAGGAGGAGGAGGAGGAGGAGGAGGAGGAGGAGGAGGAGGAGGAGGAGGAGGAGGAGGAGGAGGAAGTGGAGGAGGAGGAGGAAGTGGAGGAGAAGGAACGAGCAAGTTCCGTCTGGCCTTGCTGTTCAAACTCCCGCCATCGCCCAACCTCCTTCCCGTGGTCAACCCCAGTCTCCTTCAACCCTCTCCTCCTCCATGCGACCACCTCTCCACTGCTTTTCTCATCCCTCTTCTCCTCCTCCTCGGAAACAACACCGTTCCTCCCGAGCCCCGGCCGATCCTCTCGAAGTTCGGCGCTCCTCTTGCCAGCTTCCCTCTTCTCCTCCTCAGAACCCCTCCCAACCCTCCCAAGCTCCTGCCGCTCATCTGAGAACTTGCTGTTTCCCCAGGGCTCTGCCAGCAGGCTGCGTTGGTCCATGCGGGAAGCCACCACCTGCCGCTCGTCAGAACCCTTCCCACTCCTCCCAAACTCTGCCAGCAGGCTGCGTTGGTCCATGCGGGAGTGGACTTCACTTTTCTTGCCGACATCCCTCTTCACCTCCTCAGAACCCCTCCCACTCCTCCCAAACTCCGCCAGCAGGCTTGTTTGGTCCATGCGGGACGCCACGACCTGCCTGGCCACGTGCATGCCGTACACGTGGTGGCGCTCGCGGTTGATGATGTGGCACAAGTAGGCCGACGGCCACCGCAGCATGAAGCGCGTTGCTTGGGCTCGCCACCAGTGCGCCTGGTGGGAGGAGGAGGGAGGCGGGAGGGGGAAGGGAGAGAGAAGTGAGAGAGGTTGGGCAGAGAGACAGGTAGGTCGACGGCCACCGCAGCATGAAGCGCGTCGCCTGCGCCCTCCAGCAGTGCGCCTGGTGGGGGTCTAGTTTTGAGGCGCCTCACCACGTCTAGTTTTGAGGCGCCTCACCACTAGATTGCTTACCATCTTTGATTCCTTGGAGTGCTCGCCCTACGCCCCATCACCTCGTTGGGGAGAGGGTGCAGAGGAAAGGACTCTCAGGCATGCTCCTTGCCTGCGTCGATAAACAGAGAGCCCTACTTGCTCACGTTCTTATGTCCCTTGGAGTGCTCGCCCTACGCCCCATCACCTCTTTGGGGAGGGGGCGCAGAGGAGAGGGCTGCTCAGGCATGCTCCTTCCCTTCTGCAGCAAAGTCTGCTCACCTTCATCAAGTCCCCCTCAGAGTGCTAGTATATCTCTCTCTCCCATCGACCCACCTTCTTGAATTCCCTGCAGTGCTCACCCATACGCGCTGACTTGTGAGTCGACTCAGAAGTCTGCTCACCTTCTCAAGTCCTAAAGAGTGCTAGCACATCTCTCTCTCCCATCGACCCACCTTCTTGAATTAATTGCAGTGCTCACCCATACGCGCTGACTTGTGAGTCGACTCAGAAGTCTGCTCACCTTCTCAAGTCCTAAAGAGTGCTAGTATATCTCTCTCTCCCATCGACCCACCTTCTTGAATTAATTGCAGTGCTCACCCATACGCGCTGACTTGTGAGTCGACTCAGAAGTCTGCTCACCTTCTCAAGTCCTAAAGAGTGCTAGCACATCTCTCTCTCCCATTGACCCACCTTCTTGAATAAATTGCAGTGCTCACCCATACGCGCTGACTTGTGAGTCGACTCAGAAGTCTGCTCACCTTCTCAAGTCCTAAAGAGTGCTAGTATATCTCTCTCTCCCATCGACCCACCTTCTTGAATTAATTGGAGTGCTCACCCATACGCCTCATCGCCTCGTTGGGCAGAGGGTGCAGAGAAGAGGGCTGCGCAGGTACACACCTTTCCCATCGATAAACAGAAAGCCCTACTTGCTCACCTTCTTAAATTCATTGGTGTGCTCTCCCATACGCCCCATCACCTCGTTGGGCAGAGGGCTCCTCAGATACGCCTTGCCCCACAGCCTGCATGTGGAGAGCAGGGGAAGGAGGGGGCACGGTGCACCCGGGTAAGGCAAGGACCCCTCTGTGTTGCTCTCCCATACACCCCATGACCTCGTCGGGCAGAGGACTCTTCAGATACGCCTTGCCCCACAGCCTGCAAGACCGAAAGGAGAGGAGCGGAGGAGAAAGCTTCTAAGAAGCTTAACAGACCGTCGCACTTCCACCCAAGGAGTGAGCTCTTCAGATATGCATTGCCCCAGGGGCTGCACAGCGAAAAGGAGAGGAGCGGAGAAACGAGGAGAGGAGAACGAGTAAGGGATAGCAGTCGGTTGGCCTGCTGTTTGAAGCAGTGTTTTGATACGTCTCAAAACACTAGTTCAAACACGAAGGGATAGCAGTCAGATGGCCTGCTCGTGTAAGTGAAGCCAACACCTCTGCCCACCGAGGTGACTCTTGAGTCGACTCAAAAGTCGCCTGCTGGTGCGAGTGAGCGAGCACGTCTGCTCTGCCCACCGAGGTGCGTGCTTATGATACGCCCCAGCTCCTCGTTTCTGAGAACTCTCAGAAGTGAGTGAGCGTGCTTATATGCGCCAACAGTGAGTGAGCGTGCTTATATGCGCCAACAGTGAGTGAGCGTGCTTATATGCGCCAACAGTGAGTGAGCGTGCTTATATGCGCCAACAGTGAGTGAGCGTGCTTATATGCGCCAACAGTGAGTGAGCGTGCTTATATGCGCCAACAGTGAGTGAGCGTGCTTATATGCGCCAACAGTGAGTGAGCGTGCTTATATGCGCCAACAGTGAGTGAGCGTGCTTATATGCGCCAACAGCTCGTTGGGCAGAGGGCTCTTCAGAGACGCCTTGCCCCACAGCCTGCAAACGAAGAGAAGGGGACGGAGGAGCGGAGCGACGTGCATTACTGTGGGGGCAAGGACCCCTCAATTGTAAGCTCGCCCATACGCCCCATCACCTCGTTGGGCAGAGGGCTCCTCAGATACGCCTTGCCCCACAGACAACCTGCACAGCACCACTCACTCTGCTGCCGTGGCATTGAGCTGTGCTATGACCTCCGAGCCTTGATCCACACCAAACCCCGGCAGCGTTGCGAATATCACAAGAGCGTCAGACGCCACACACGCCACATTGTCACACGGCTGCGCTACAATCACATCCTCGTTTGTCACATCCTCGTTCGTCACACCCCCCCCTGCACTCCTCTCCTCCCCATCATCACCATCCGTGCTATCAGCACCATCAGTTCCAACATGAGCAACGCTTTCTATACTCCTCAAAGATGCATCCTCAGAATCACCCGTTTCAGTGCTCCCACGGCTCTTCTTTTGAGTCGACTCAAGAGCATCAGCACCATCAGTTCCAACATGACCAACGCTTTCTATACTCCTCAAAGATGCATCCTCAGAACCGTCCATTTCAGCGGCCCCAGTGCTATCTGCTGCGCGCAGCAGCCTCCTCTCACTACCCTTTCCAGTTTTCCCTCCTTCCGCTTCCTTCTCCTTCTCTCCCTTCTCCTTCTCTCCCCTCTCCTTGTCTCCCTTCTCCTTCTCTCCCTCCTCCTTCTCTCCCTTCTCCTCTTCCCTCTCTTTTTCTGCCCTCTCTTTTTCTGCCCTCTCCCTTTCTTCCCTCTCTTTTTCTGCCCTCTCTTTTTCTGCCCTCTCTTTTTCTGCCCTCTTCCTTTCTTCCTCGGCAGCAGCCTGTCGCTTCCTCTCCTCAGCAGCCTTCCAGGCCTGATGCGCCTTGAGAGCGATCGCCTCACACTCCTGGGACGAGAATCGGAAGAAGTAGCACTCGAGTGACCCTCGGTGGCCCAGCTCTGAGACAAGGCGAACGGGAGGGGACACAGCACAATAGAAAGCAGATGCAACTTGCAACCCTCGCTCCAAGTATTTCCATGTGCCTTCACCGCGATCGCCTCACACTCCTGGGAGGAGAACCGGAAGAAGTAGCAGTCGAGTGACCCGCGGTGACCCAGCTCTGGGAGAAGGCAAGGGGGAAGTGCAACACATGCACACGAGAAGCAAAACAAGTCAGAGGATGGGGTAGGTAAGTCTGGGAGGAAAAGGGGAAGAAGTAGCACTTGAGCGACCCCCGGTGGCCCAGCTCTGCGCGAAGGAGAACGGGAGGGGACACACTACAATAGAAAGCAGATGTAACTTGCAACCCTCGCTCCAAGTATTTCCATGCGCCTTCACAGCGATCGCCTCACACTCCTTGGATGAGAACCCAAAGAAGTAGCACTCGAGCGACCCGCGGTGACCCAGCTCTGGGAGGGTAGAGGGCAAGAGGAACACACACACGCACGTGCAACACAAGTGCGAGTGTGTGCGCTAAATGCGCCTTGATAGCGGTCTCCTCACACTCTTTGGACGAGAACCGGAAGAAGCAGACTCTTGAGTCGACTAAGAAATCAACTCTTCACACACTGGATGCGCCTTGAGAGCCATCTCCTCGCAATCTTTTGACGAGAACCGGAAGAAGCAGCACTTGAGTGACCCCCGATGGCCCAGCTCTGAGACAAGGCAACACAGGAAAAACGTATAGAGGGGAAAAACACACACTCGCTCACTCACCCACTCACTCACTCACCCACTCACTCACCCACTCACTCACTCTCGCATTCCTCATGGTCTGCCTGCGGCAGAGTGCCGGGCACGAGCACGAGAGTCCTGTTGTGCAGCAAGGCGGCACTCAGCACAGCGCCCATCACGTGCAGCTGCGACCCTATCCCGTGCCACCCCATGCTCAGCCACTCCACCACCATCACCCGCCGCCCCTTGCACTGCCCGGGCGGGAACTGCTGTCCCCATATGTCAGCTTGTGCTTGCCGGGTGGCTGCCAGGTTGGCAGCATCGGAGCCTCGGATCTGGAGATAGGGGTTAGGGGCAGGGAGAAGGAATGAAATACACTTAATCCTCGTTATATAGCTCGTTAGCAGTGCTGCCAGGTTGGCTGCATCGGAGCCTCGGATCTGCAGGAGGGGTGGTGGTGGGTAGGGTAGGGAAGAGGAGTTTTGTAATTCCTGATATGATCCAGACAGCAATGCACTCGGATTGTAGAACACGGCTAACATTCTGCACAGCACAGACCAGCACAGCACAGCACCGCACAGCACAGCACAGCACAGCACAGCACAGCACAGCATCGCACAGCACAGCACAGCACAGCACAGCACAGCACAGCACCGCACAGCACAGCACAGCACAGCACAGCACAGACAACTGTGCAGCACAGCACCGCACAGCACAGCACAGCACCGCACAGCACAGCACAGCACAGCACAGCACAGCACAGCACAGCACAGCACAGACAACTGTGCAGCATAGCACCGCACAGCACAGCACAGCACAGACAACTGTGCAGCATAGCACCGCACAGCACAGCACAGCACCGCACAGCACAGCACAGCACAGACAACTGTGCAGCACAGCACAGCACCGAGAATAATGTGACAGACAACTGCAGCAGAGCACAGCATCCCACCACACCGCACGGCACTGCACAGAACAGCTCCGCACCACACAGCACCGCGCACGGTGGATGCAACTCTCACCCAGGGAGGTTGGGGCACGCTGCCGCATGCAGGGTTGGGAACAGCCCAGAAGGGCGGCTCCCCCCGCTCCCCCCGTTTCTTTGAGTATAAGCGGACCGCATTCCCCCCCCACTGACTTACCGAGGACCCAGCGCTCACCCAGGGGGGTTGGGGCACGTTGCCGCATGCAGGGTTGGGAACAGCCCAGTAGGGCGGCTCCCCCCGCTCCCCCCATTTCTCCGTGGACAGGCGGAAGGCTGTGCGCGCCTCACAGTCCTCCAGGTGGGGCGCGGGGGGAACGTCCGGGCGAAGCGAGATGGCGGAAGGGGGGAATGTATTCTCCGCCTGGAGCCCATAGGCGCTCTCCCAGTGCTGGTTCGGGGGAGAAGGTTGTGGGGGGGGGGGTTGGGGGGGAAAGAGTGGGGAAGTTCGGGGGACAAGCGGCGGGGGATCCGCGGACCAAAGGGGGATTGGCTGAGGAGGGGAACATTGCGGGGGGAAGTGAGATGGCGGAGCGCGGCGAAAGGGGGAGAGGAATCTTTGCCTGCACCCCGTAGGCATTGTTTTAAGGCTGATGAGGGAGGGATGCTTGGGATGGGATGCTCGGGATGCTTCCTCCTTACCTGAGAAGAATCTGTTAAGACCAAACGTCTTTCCCCTCCTAGAAATTTTTTGATTCGCCGCTTTGAGCCGACACGGCTCGAAACAAATTCATTTTGAGTCGACTCAAGCACACCTCGATATAGACACACCTGATACAAGGTCCGCATGGCCTCCAGAAACATATCTCCCTCTTTCTCGGAGCGTTGAACTGTCGCCATCACGAGCCAAGCCGCCGGGAGCGCAACGGCCACGAGTCGAAGAAGGATCGCAACGGTCGTGCGACGGCGGAGGAATTGGGCGGCGCGGGCCATCATGAGACGGACGGTGGTGATCATCCTGTGGGCAGTGGCAGTAATTGGACCGTTGCGGACCATGCTATCTGAGGAATCTCAAAAGAAGAGGCGGGCGACGCGGATCATGAGAGGGACTCCCTCTCGGAGGCTAGTTTTGAGTCGACTCAGTTTTGAGCCTAGTTTTGAGTCGACTCAAAAGCCAACTCGCGACGCGGATCATGAGAGGGACTCCCTCTCGGAGGGTGATGATCGTCCTGTGAGCAGCGATCGGCCCGATCACTGATAATCATAAATCGAACTACGGACGGGGGTAGGCGGAAAGGCGGCGTCCGACGGGACGACGGACGACGTTGTGAGTAGTAGCACTCTGACCAGCGATCACGTTCGCCGTGAGGCACGGCGCGGCGCGAACCACCGTCGCGCGGACCAAACGGGTTAGCGACAGCTTGTGTGGACGCTGTTCCTTTTTCTGGGGTAAAAGAAATCGCTCCTAGCAAGGCTGAGCATCCGCGGAACGATCCTTCCGAGCCTTTCTGCCGTTCGTCCACGCGACGATGATGCGTCGTAACAAATCACAGTAACCCACGATCCAAAACGCTGGTTATAACTGATTTGCCTAAAGCGAACGTGGAGAAGCCTGATTGCCTGAAGCGAATCTGCCGATGCCAACGTAGTTGGCTCGAATGGCGCTCACCATGCTACAACATTCCGAGAAAGTCTTCTGACGGAATCCGTCTCTGCTCCGTCGAGGCGGTGTTCGCCAGCACATTGGCCCTGTTCGATAGGCAGGCAAGCCCTTCCGCGGAAAAAGTCGCGTGGTTTCGTGATTGGGTTTTTTTTCACGGTCAGCCCGTAATTTGATGTCACGGGGCTTTAACGCTCTGTAACCTGAAGGGTTAGTGTTAGCCTGTCGAACACTACTTTAACCCTTCAAAATCATACCACCCGAAAGCTCCAAGTCCCTTCTCACACGCACAGAGGTTAGCCTAGCTCTAGCCCAGCCCTCGCACCCCCAAAATGGAGGTTGGCAAAGGCATAGGCTAGGGTTCCAAAAGGAAGGGGATACCCACCCCATACCCCACCTAAGTTTTCTCAGCAGGGCCCATGCTCCAACATCGCGGAAAAGGGAAATTGCGTTTTTGGGTGACCGAAGGTTTTTCTGCGTGGGCCTTGCGTGCTTGTTGCGACATGTGTCAAAAAAACAAGGGCCGTAAAGCGCAGCATCTCCACAATCAATAACCGCACCCTCGTCCACAACATTACCGCCACCAAACTGTTACTTTGCCGTTACCTGCGCTATTATCCGCACCGCCTCTACGAAGGCGCCTCGAACACATGCGGCTCGGGCCCAGAGCTGCAACAATACTCGGTATTAGTGTGTCGCTCAAACCCCGCTGCAGTTTCCGCGACAATCCTATCTACACACTTATTCGGAATACCGTAACCAACATACGCAACCACTGATATGCTTCTGCAAACCGGATACTTCCCATTGTTAACATGTGCCAATATCATAAATCTTAAAGTTCATACTTACAAAGCACAACACACAGAAGTCATACTCTACCGTCTGCACGCAACCACATCTACACACTATGCCCACCCTACAAAACACCCCCTCCCCCCCCCAAAAAAAAAAAACATCACTCCCTAGCGCACTACACGGATGCACTGTCGGACGACCCAGAACTGCGCGCACGCTTCTTCGGTGTGCGGTTTAGGCGGCTGACCACCTCTCCATTAGAGGCGCCAACAAGAGGCGCCACTTCTGCTGGGCAATCCCCAGCGCCTCAGCGTGACACACGTACGCGTGTGTCACGTTGCGGATGGCACGCCGACGGCATCAGAGGCCCATCCGGAAGGCACATTTCACCCTCGTCCCCCGAAGACGTTGGCGTAGTGGGCGTCACCAACTTCACTCCTGCCTGCTCCATTAACCACTTATCGCAGGTCACGTAGTCGGACGCCGGCATATACAACGCTGGACGCACACGGAACTCACGCAGCAGCACCAGGAGGTCCGCCGTGGTAGAGACTAGCGGCTCGTACATGCCTGCCGAATACATGCCGTGCAGGTGCCACATAAGCGGCCACCATGACTCCGGGACGCATCCCGCCCTCCACCAGCTCCTTTGCATCGTAGCGGCCGTCAGCGCCTTCCAGGCCAAGCCCATCCACAGCAGCATGACCGCGTAATTCACCACGGAAAAGGGCGCATCGAAATCCTCGTGGAAGAGTTCCGATCGCACCGCGCGTCTCAGCAGGATAACACGATACTCCGCCTTGAAAGCGTCCACCACGCCATGCAAAAACGGCATGCTGGACCACTGCACTATGTCTGTGAGGTCGACAAAGCGCGTGTGCGTGAAATGCACCACCGTCAAACCGTGCTCCACCGTCGTCTTCGCGTCATTCGTGGTAATGTGGTGCGCGGTGTTGTAGGTGAACACAACCGTCTTCCGTTCACGGCTTGGCTGCACACCGTCGACCGTCTGAAAGAACTCGGTGAACACCTGCGCAATGCCAAGCCAAGACAACTCATGCACCGAGTTAAGGTTCCGTACACCAACACCACCAACATGACACCTCAGCATTCGCGAAATCCGCTGAACCGTCCACTCCCAAATGGATCCAACATACCTCGGGTGTGAGCCGACCACTCTTCGTGTAGCGCACAATCACCGCCGGTGCGGGTTCCCCGCTGCGCCTTGTTTCTGGCCGCTCGTCATGGCGCAAAACCACAAGGGGCACCGTGCTGCAGGTTCCCGTCGCATTGTATAGGAAGCCCACACTTATGATCCGGTCGCACGGGGTTGCTGTCCTTCCTGGAATCTTGGTCTTAGGCAAACGGCTCGGCAAAAACGGTATCTCCACAAACAGAATGTGGCGCCAAGAGTGCGCGACAGATTGATTTGATGGCCCTTTGTACGTTCACAACACCCACCTTCGCTGTCATGTGCTTTCAGGCTTCTAAGCATCCGTGTTCCAAAGCTGTCAAACGGGAAGACGTGGACGGCGCTCGATTGCAACACTTTTGTGAACACCACTGCTCACAACACGGCAGTCAATGTTGGAAACGGCCTGCCGCTCCTTGAGCACGACTACCTTGCTGTCCCTGTCTACAGGGGGTAATTATTGAGCCACCTGACTTGTTTGAATGGAGCCGTAGGGTAAATGCATTCTTTATGCGCGTGACTAAACACCGTCCTTTCCTACCGCTTGCCTCCATGCAGAGAGCACTACTCAATGGTGATAGTCATATCACCCCACCGTCTGGTGGATAACAGGTCAAGGAAGGATAGCCCGCCGCTGGAAATGGTGTTGTTTGACAGCTCCAGGGCCCCGATGAGTACACAGAAGGTTTTTAATGGCGTGAAAGTGTAAGTGTGGTTTTCCGTCACTGTAACTACTATTGTTATTTGCACAAGCGTGCCTGTAACCGGGTTGTGTACGCCGAGATGTTCCGCAGGGTGTTGACAACCGTGGTCAGGACGACGCATCCACATGTAGACATGGCGAAATTTGATCAGCTGCTGAGGGACGTTTTGTGCCATGTCCTCACTGTAAGTGTGACCATCCTGGTTTTTTTGGTGGACGGATGATGTTATACAAAATGCAAAACTGACCACCTGGGTGCGGTTTTTAGCGTGCAGGAAAACCACATCCCCAAGCAAGAGAACGGTTATGACTGTGGAGTCTTTCTTTGCCACTACTTGAAAATTTTGGTCTCCTCCGACTTCGCCAACGTGAAGAGTGGCCTGTGGTTCAAGGGGGTCAGCGCGCTGCAGTACCGCCGCATCATGCGCGCTGATCTTTGCGCTCACGCTATGGGAGAGTTGCTCCGGAAGCTAGATGAGGATGGCTTGGATGTTCCTTCTCAGCCAAGCGAGTTGAACACCAACACGACTTTGAGGGAGGGTGCGACGGAAGGACGTGAGAAAGAAGAACAGCGTATAGACCAGCTCGAGGCGGAGTTGTGCTCGTTAAAGCGCGAGGTGGGTGCGATGACTGCTGTCACGGCAGCAGGCAGCTGCGGTTTCACTAGTCCAGCCATCCTATCCGGTGTACGGGATGGCGCAGAGCGGTGCGGTCGCACACCTCGGCTTCGTAGCTGTACCTAAGCAGGAGACGTTGGTGGGAGGAGAGGATTCGGAGGAAGATGGAGAGGGCGAGAACGAGCCAGGAACAAAGCCGACCAAGTACACAGGGGTCTATGTGGAGGCTGATACAGGCAAGTATGGGGTGAAGATCGTCGCAAAGGACAAGGAGGGGAAGAAGATAACGAAGAGAGTCGGCGCGTACACCACGATAGAGGAGGCAGCGTATTGCTACGCGGCAGCTGCCCACGTGCTGAGGCCTGGTAAAGGCACCCGGAATTCCGTGGCTTTAACACCGACAGATAAGGCAGCTTTGAAGGGGTGCACTCCCGAAATCCTGAAAGTCATGGTGGATGCCCGCATGTGGTGGCGCTGGAGGGTATGGAGGGAGACTTACGAAGGTCTGATGCTGAAGGCCGCGCGAACAAAGAAGAATGCAACGCGTGCAAAGAGGGGGAGACCGCGCAAGGGGAGTGGTGATCAGGGTGGGGGCACGGCAGGGGAGGGTGAAGGCGAGAAGGCTGGCAATGCGGACATTGTCATCGCTGGCCATGAGGCAGAAAACAGCAGAACGCGTAAGATGGCCCGCGGTGCAGAGGCAAAGTCCATAGAGGATAAGACAGATGAAACTGGTCGTGGGAGGCCATAGGAAGGTGCTTGGGATATCAGTGGGAAATGATAGTGGATCATGGGGTTGAGAAATGTAAGGTGGAGGATGCTTTCACGCTTGTGTGGTTTGTAGTTTAAATTAAGTATGGCATTAACAGCTTGATACAGCGTTGTTTCCTGTGGTGCATGTATAATAGATATGAAATAGCTAGCAAAAGAAGGAACTAATGTAGGAGTACTGTTAAAGTGTATCGAGAGTACGGGTGGTATTTTCGAAGTTGACGGTGAACAGAGGAAGAATTGTATTCGCTCACCAAGATTACAGAAATCGTGGAGGTCGTCTTCCACTGGGTGTCGGTGATTGCGTTTATCCTGATGGGCGACAACGGTTTCGGTCGATGGTTGTGGACGATGTTGAGCAAGGTTTAGGCGTTACCGTATACTTTGCAAGCTCAATCCGAGTACTTAGGATAGCGTCCAGTGCACGCAAACAATGTCATTCGTTAATAATGGAGATGTCCGTTGCTTCTGAAGATACTGGCAACGCTGGGCGTGCACGGCGAGTGTCCCAGCCCCCGGCGTACCTGCGCGCGGCATATCAGCTTGCAACTCCTCGGGGACGCATGCCAAGGGGGACTCGCGTGCCGGCCGTGCCAAAGCTTTTGGCCATTACCAGAGCGGAGGGAGGCGGAAATGCAATTCGTGACGGTAATGACGGTGTGATGTGCAGTTTTAAAGAAATGTATGACGAGGCTTTTAACTGTTTAATCCCTGGTTTGGAAAGTGAAAGTGTTGTCTTTCCCCATACTTCCTCGTTGGAATTTGTGTTGCCCGGCATTTAAATGTCTCCACCGCCTACATTCCCACGTCCGCAGATAATACGGGGGGCAAGACATCGGACGCTTCTCCCGGCAGGGTCGGCAAACAAGCGCTGGTGAGTGACTCGCCCGATTCGCGTACCAATAGCGACGGTGCTCCTCGTCAGGCGAACCGGAATCGAGGCGAGGATTTCGAAGGGGGCATACAGGCACACATCGTGAACAATATAAACGCTTCCAAAGAGGAGGATGACGAGGATGTGGGTGACGCGATGCGCACGATGTTCGAAAGCAACGCGAGAGTCTCCAACGATGCTGTGGACACGCATGGCGAGGAAGTGCGCGTTTCCGCGGGAGTATTCAGGAGCCTCCTTAAGTCGCAGGACGAGAGCGCGCAGAAGGTGGCTCGCTTGGAAACTCTGCTTTTGGAGGCGCTGGCGAAGTCCGATGGGGGGTCCCGTCGGCGCAAGGCGGAGCGGCAGAGGGATCCCGGGCAGGGATGCATGAACCCAAAGCGCCAGCGTCGCGGCCCGGCAGTGGCAGACGTTGAGGAGGATGACGACGAGGAGGAAGACGACGACTTCGAAGACATGGCACAGATTCGGACAGCGCGTCGGAAGCACATGCGCTATGCGAAGTTGCCTGTTCTGCAACGCGCACTTGATCTGCTGCCGGCCGACAAGGCTTGGAAGGTGGGATGTGGTACCAATCGTGTAACATTACTTAAGGTTTGTGCGTTTTCTGCCGTGCGATAGAGTGTTGTGGAGCATTGGACTCATTCATGATATACCATGATACCTGACTTGTGTGCAGCGCCTATGCGAGCTGGTCCGAGTGCATCTGTTCTTGAAGAAGCCGGCCGCAACCATGACGTTCTATCCAAGCTCAGACAACAAGACATATGGCGTTTGCGCAGTGATTGACAGACTGCCTCATAGCTTCGCGTGCCTTGCGCTTGCGGCGGACAAGTCCCGCCGTGCTGACCTTAACAAGACGCTGAGCGAGTGGAAGACAAGGGCAGCTGGACGGGTCAGGGACATTGCGCTCCCTAAGCTTGGATTCTTCCGTGATGAGCGCGACGAGGCAAGCCCGTGGGCAAGGGACAACGCACGGACGCTGGAGCAGATTCGGGAGCGCATTGGGCTTGGTGCGGAAGAGAGCGGTAAGCGGTGTTCTTGTGAGTATACACTGCGGTGAGTGACATTTTCTATGTGCGTTGTAGTCTATAAACCCCACCATTATATCCGTGGCCCCATGTACAGATCTGGTGCTGAGCAACTGGTCAAACGACCGCGAGGGGATGCCATTTGCGCCTGCCGCCTTTGCGGCGTGCGCAAAGGCAGCCTTCATTCCGAGGAAGCCTGCAATGCCGCTCATTTTGAAGGTGTACCACTTTGCTGTCAGATTATCATAGCTGATGCATGTTTGTAGGCCATAGTGGGGTAGCACATATGGGGTACAGCTTTCTAGGGTTGTATTTGTACCCAACTCTGACTTAGTCATTTCATTCCTGTTTTCCTTGCTTCACATGGTATAGAGCGGGTCCTGCCTTAGGACCGTTTTTTTTAGGGCCCACCGAAGCGCGCCCCGAGGCGCGCCCTTTTTTTTAGCGACCCCTCGGGTCGCCTTTTCCCTCCCGGCCCCGGTGTCCCTCAGACGCGGCCCCGCCACCTCTCCTGATCGCGGCCCCGCCGCCTGCTTGATCGCGGCCCCGCCGCCTGCTTGACGCGGCCCCGCCGCCTTCCCTGACGCGGCCCCGCCGCCTCCCCTGAAGCGGCCCCGCCGCCTCCCCTGACGCGGCCCCGCCGCCTCCCCTGACGCGGCCCCGCCTCTACTGCCGCGGCCCCGCCGCCGCCTTTTACGGCCCGCCGCTGCACCCTACGGCCCGCCGCCTCTGACGGCCCCGCCGCTGCACCCTCGGCCCGCCGCTGCTCCTGCCGGCCCGCCGCCTCACCTGACGGCCCCGCCGCTGCTCCTGCCGGCTCGCCGCTGCTCCTGCCGGCCCGCCGCCTCACCTGACGGCCCCGCCGCTGCTCCTGCCGGCCCGCCGCTGCTCCTGCCGGCCCGCCGCTGCACCTGCCGGCCCGCCGCTGCACCCAGCGGCCCGCCGCTTCACCTGACGGCCCCGCCGCTGCACCTGCCGGCCTGCCGCTGCACCCTACGGCCCGCCGCGCTGCACCTGCCGGCCCGCCGCTGCACCTGCCGGCCCGCCACTGCACCGGTCGACCCGCCGCTGCACCTGACGGCCCCGCCCCTGCATCTCCCGGCCGAGCCGCCCCAGCAGCCGAACCGCCCGGGACCCGAGCCGCCCTGCCGCCGAGCCGCCCGGGAGCCGAGCCGCCCTGCACCCGAGCCGCCCAGCCGCCGAGCTGCCCTGCGCCCGAGCCGCCCAGCCGCCGAGCCGCCCGGGAGCCGAGCCGCTGTGCACTTGAGCCGCCCGGTCGCTGAGCCGCCTTTCTGCATAGCTGCACGACCTGCCCTGCCTGGTGAGCACAGTCCCACTGACACTGCGAGCTCTTTCCCTACTGCTAGCACTGCGTCGCTGTCGCCGCCATGGCTACCCCTAGTGTCTTAGCTTTTGACGCTGAGGGTCGCGCCATTGATTTTGAGGTCTGGTTAGACGACCTGCAGCTGTTCTTACAGTGCGACAGGGCTGACGACCTTTCTCTCTTTGACCTCACCTCTGGCGCCTCTCCTGCCCCTGCTGCTGATGCTGATCCCGCTGTCCGCTCTAAGTGGGCCACCCGCGATGCTGCTGCACGTCTTGCTGTGCATCGCCACCTCCCTACCTCTGAGCGTGCGCACTTTAGTCAGTACAAGAGTGCTCAGACCTTGTACGACGCTGTAGTTGCGCGCTACTCCTCCCCTGCCACTGCTGCACTAAGCCGTCTCATGCTTCCCTACCTCTTTCCTGACCTCTCTGCCTTTCCCACTGTCGCTGACCTCATTACACACCTCCGCACTAGTGACACTCGCTACCGCGCCGCCCTTCCTGCTGAGTTCTGCGCTAAGAACCCCCCCCCCCATGTACATCGCCCTCTACTACGTAGTCGCGCGCCTCCCTGACTCCCTTCGCGTCGTCAGGGACCACTTTCTTGCAGTCTGTCCCACCACCCTCACCGTCGACCTCCTCGAGAAGGCCCTCCTCGCAGCGGAGAAGAGCATAGTCGCTGTAGGTGCTTCTCGTGGTGACCCTCGCACCCCCATCTTTGAGGGGTGCTCTCCTTCCCCCTTGCTGCCCTCTGTTGCCTCTGCTGCTGCTGCCGACCTGCTTGGTCTTGAGTCGGTCGGCGCGGCATCTGTCCCTAGTGGGAGACGTCGCTCCAGCAAGGGCAAGGGGGGCAAGGGCGCGGGTGGAGCTGGAGGGGGCGGTGGCGGTGGCGGCGGTGGCGGCGGAGGGAGTGGGGGTGGTGGCGGAACTAGTGGCGGAGGTGGTGGTGGTGGTGGCAGCAGTGGCGGAGACGGTGGTGGTGGTGCCAGCGGTGGTGGTGGAGGCAGCGGCGGTGGTGGAGGCGGCGGAGGTGGAGGCGGTGGAGGCGGTAGCGGAGGAGGCGGTGGTGGTGGTGGAGGTGGAGCTGGTCGAGGTGGTACCCAGCAGCGTAGCGGCGGTGGTGGTGGCCAGCGCTCGCAGCGGCAGCAGCAGCAGCGCTCGCGGGACATCCCTCCGCCTCAGCAGCTTCGTGAGTGGTATGCTGGGCGTCAGAGGGGTGGGGGTACTGGTCCCTGCACCTACGTTCTTCGTTCCGGCGACCGCGCAGGTGAGCAGTGTGGGGGTGCCCACGCCACCCAGCGCTGCTTTGGCCGCCTGACGGACGCTTGGCGTCAGCAGTTCCCTAGGGCTAGTGAGATCCCTCGCTGGGATGAGCTTCTCAGGGCTGGTGTAGCGATCTTTGATCTTGATTTTGATGCTATCCTTGCTGCTATGTATGTTGTGGATTATAGTGAGGAGAATGAGGGTTACCGTTGTTTCCAGCCCGACCCGGGCATTGGTACTGCTGCGCTAGGTGCTTGTGAGGCTGCTGCTCTAGGTGCCAGTGCGTCTGTGCTCTCAGGTACTGGTGAGACTGCGCTCTCAGGTACTGCGTCGTCCTCGTCCTCCCTCACTTTCACACTTGACTCTGGAGCTTCTCGCTCCTTCTTTCGAGACCGCACTACCCTTACGCCGCTCGGCCGGCCGGTTGCGGTCTCCCTTGCTGACCCCTCTGGGGGTCCTGTCCTGTCTCACTTCTCCACTGTCCTCCCGTGTCCGGCTGCCCCTTCGGGCACCCTGTCGGGTCTGTACCTTCCCTCGTTCTCTACGAACTTGGTGAGTGGAGCGGACCTGCAGGATGTGGGGGTTCACCAGTTCACTCCTGCGAGTCAGCGGGTGACCCACTGCACGGAGGCACGCACAGGCCGACACCTGGCCACGTTCTCGCGTCGGCCGGGGTCGAGTCTCTACACCCTGACCGTTGAGTCTCCTCCTGTCCCTGCGTCTGGTCAGGTGGCTGCGTCGGGTCAGGTGCTTGCTGCTGCGTCCCGGTCCGGTCCTGAGTCTGCCCCCTGTTCTTGTCGCCTCCTGTCTCACGAGACTCTCCTGTGGCACCACCGTCTTGGTCACCCCTCCTTGCCCCGTCTTCGGAGCATGGCTTCCCGTGTCCTTGTCTCTGGTCTTCCCCAGTCTCTCCCTCCTCTCCCCTCCGGGCCGGGACCTTCCAGTGTCCCCTATGGCGAGGGTCGCCTCCGGGCTACTCCTCACTCCTCCCACTTCCCCCCGACAGAGGCTCCCCTGCAGACGCTTCACATGGATGTGTGGGGCCCAGCCCCCGTCCGTGGGCAGGGTTACGAGCGCTACTTCCTGTTGGTGGTTGACGACTACTCGCGTTACACCACAGTCCTCCCCTTGCGCAGCAAGGGTGCGGTCACTGAGGTACTGATCGACTGGATCCGCGAGGCTCGTCTCCAGCTCAGGAAGAGCTTCGGCTCGGACTTTCCTGTTCTGCGTCTGCACTCTGACAGAGGCGGAGAGTTCTCTTCTCGCCTTCTGCGGGACTACTGTCGTGCACGGGGGATCCGCCAGACCTTCACGCTTCCGGACTCACCACAGCAAAATGGGATTGCTGAGCGCCGCATTGGCATGGTCATGGATGTCGCTCGTACGTCCATGATGCATGCGGCTGCCCCCCATTTTCTGTGGCCGTTTGCGGTGAGGTACGCGGCGCATCAGCTCAACCTTCACCCCCGGGTCTCTCGGCCTGCGATGTCCCCAGCCTTGCTGTGGACGGGGAAGGTTGGCGATGCGTCTGTGTTCCGTGTCTGGGGATCTCGGGCGTTTGTCCGCGACTTGTCTGCGGACAAGCTGTCCCCTCGTGCTGCTCCCTGTGTCTTCCTTGGCTTCCCCACTGACGCCCCAGGGTGGCAGTTTTACCACCCCTCCTCTCGTCGTGTTCTGTCCTCCCAGGACGTCACGTTCGACGAGTCAGTCCCCTTCTACCGTCTCTTCCCCTACCGCACTCCTTCCCTCCCCCCTCCCCCGGACTTCCTTGTGCCGGTTCCCCCCCCGGTAGACCCCCTCCCCCCTCAGGTTCCTGCCCCCTCAGGTGTGTCCCAGGTAGACGCCGTTGACCCGGTCGAGGTTACTGGTGACTCTGGTGCTGCTGCGGGTGCTGAGCCTGGGGGTGCTGACTCTGGGGGTGCTGTGCGCGGGGGTGCTGAGCCTGGGGGTGCTACTGCTGGGGGTGCTGGGCCTGAGGGTGCTACTGCGGAGGGTGCGGAGCCTGGGGGTGCTGAGCCGGGGGGTGCTGTGCCTGGAGGTGCTGGGTCTGGGGGTGCTGGGTCGGGAGCTGCTGAGCCTGGGGGTGCTGAGCTGGGAGCTGCTGAGCCTGGGGGTGCTGCGTCTGGAGCTGCTGAGCCTGGGGTTTCTCCTGCTGCTACGTCTCGCCGGGAGCCCCTCTCTCCACAGGAGCTGCGCGAGTGGTTCGCTCGCCGCTGGAGGCGTGCTGCTGAGTCTAGAGGTGCTGCTGGAGCTGGAGCTGGTGCTTCTTCGACCGTCGAGGGTGCGGGTGCTGCCGGTCCCGGAGCTGCTGGACCTGCGGGTCCTCCTGGAGCTGGAGCTGCTGAGGGCGCTGGTGCTGAGCCTACTGCTGTTGGTCCTGCCGCTGGAGGTGTGGGTGGCGCTGGTGCTGTCGCTGAGGGTGCTGGTGCTGTCCCTGCTGCGT